TGGCTTATTGTGTTTTCTGATGCTAGCAATTCTCCAGGAGACTAAGACCTCTAGACCAGCAGAGCACAAAGTCATGAAAACAGGAAACAAAATTTTGCTAGTGGGTCTCTTGGGATAACAGTGAGTGGTGCCACTTCTATTCCCACCCTCTAATTTCTGGACTCATGAATCCTACTATGGGAGAAAAGGAGCCATATATTGGGCAAGTGCTTCAAAGCATACAGTCTTCTGGAGAACCTTGCCCCAGCACTTAGTTATTGCTACGTAGTTGACACCATAATTGACTGTCCAGAAAACATTCCACCATTCAGTCAGGCCAGATGTTTCAGGAGGGTCAAACCTGTGAATTTTTTTACCACTGCCATTGCCACACTTCATTTGCTGTAAAGTGAGTTCCTTGATCAGAAATATTATTGAGTAGAACACCATGATGATGCATAAGGTATAATAATCATTGCATGTAAGGAAGGCGAATCTGAATCCAGACTAAGTTTATATTCCAATAAGGAGAAATACACTGCCCCTTCTATGATGAAAGTTGTCCAACATAATCAGCATGCCATTAGTTTAACTCACTGATTATCCTAGGGAATGGTGTCCTATATAGCATTCAATGGTGACAGATTAAGAAGTCATCAGTGACTGTGGCCAGGTCAGGATTGAAATATAAATTACATGTGGCTGATCCCATCTATAACCTCCACCCTTGCCATCATAACCACATGAACTCAGTGGGTGACAATAGGTATTGCTATGGATAGAGGCTGACTAGTATACACAGAATGAGTCTTCCTTTCCACCTGACTGTTAAAATCTTCCTCTGTTGAGGTCTCACCCATTAGTGAGTATCAACATGGGACCCAGATATCTTCACATTTTTTTTGAGCTCATAGAGATCTAGACACATAGTTTCATCCTGAACTAGACATTTGCATCCGTGTGTTTTTTTCCCCAAGTTCCTGACCATTTAGCCAAACCACACTAATATATAATCACATATCTGGCTATTTCTCTTATCAAGCAAAGTGTACAATGAGGTACAATGCCTGAATTTCTTCCTTCTTGGGAGGATTTCATTTCACCTCTGTCCTTCAAGAATGTCTAAGTGAGGAGCCATAGTGCTGTAACTTATCTATTTTTTATTTTTTTAAAATATATTTTATTGATTTTTTACAGAGAGGAAAGGAGAGAGATAGAGGGTTAGAAACATTGATGAGAGAGAATCATCGATAAGCGGCCTCTTGCATACCCCCTACTGGAGATGTGCCCGCAACCAGGGTACATGTCCTTGACCGGAATCAAACCCGGGACCTTTCAGTCCACAGGCCAAAGCTCTATCCACTGAGCCAAACCGGTTTTGGCGCTTATCTATTTTTTAGAGGGTGCCTGTATATAATACAGAGACATCTGTAAACTAGGCCAAAATTTTTTCTTCCTTTGCCAAATAATGGTATAAAACGCCCCATGAGGTCACATGTAAGCCGGGATAGGGAAGGCAGTGTAGGAGGAATAGAGACCATTGTATTTGGGCCACTTCTTCATATAAGTTACCCGTGCCACCGGGACCGGTTTGGCTCAGTGGATAGAGTGTCAGCCTGCGGACTGAAGGGTCCCGGGTTCGATTCCCGTTAAGGGCATGTACCTTGGTTGCGGGCACATCCCCGGTAGTGGGTGTGCAGAAGGCAGCTGGTCGATGTTTCTCTCTCATCGATGTTTCTAGCTCTCTATCTCTCTCCTTTCCTCTTTGTGTAAAATCAATAAAATATATTAAAAAAAAAAAAAGTTACCCGTGCCTTTAGGTACCACTTGGTTCTGATTACATATTTACCATTTCTATTTCTAATTTTATGGCTTTGTGGGCCAGAAAACACCCAGTTCATGATGAGCAGTTGAGAGTGCATGAAAACTTTGTGGCTCGTTGTTAAATGTTCAGTCTCTACTAAGTTGTAGTAACAGGCAAAGAGCTGTTTCTGTAAAGAAAAGCAGTTATCTGCAATTCATTGCAGAACCTTTCTCCTAAATTTTACTCTCTGAGAAACCTATAGGACCTGCCAAAATCTTCAAGCCTCATCCCTGCCTGCCATTGATATTTCAAGACCATTGGATCTGCTGGATCACGTGGCCCAAGTGGCAGAAAAGCTTGCAATCTAGCCTGAACCCTTTGCAGAGATTTTTTTTTTTTTGGTCTAAAGTTTTACTTATGTTCCTTTTCCCCCCAATTTACCCCATTCCCATCCTGGGCAAGCCCCAACTGCCCCAGGATCTGCGTCCATTGTCTATGCTAATATGCATGCATTCAAGTCCTTTGGTTGTTCTCAAGCCCTGCTCTCCTGCCATTTGTCTCTGGATCTATTCTTGTTAATCAAGTTACGTTGATCATTATATCCCACATATGAGTGAGATTAAATTAATCCCCTTCTAGATATTAATAATTAAATTAATCCCTGCAGAGAGGAAAGAATGTGGAGCATCTGCAATGAAGAGGCGCTTGAGAAAGAGGCTGAGAAGCCTGAGTGCTTCCAGTTTGTTATGTTTGCTGGGCAGCTGCCCCTTAGGAAGGGCAGAAAGCATGGCTCTGAGGGTTCCCTGAGCACTGAGTCAAGTTCCACAGCCAACTGGAATTGGCCTCAGTTTCCTGGTCTGTAAAATGGACAAAGAGTGTTCCAGTGCCTTCACTGAACTTTAATGGCCAATTGAGATACTATATAAAGAAAATGAGGGAAGAAGTGAGAAAGGAAAGGAAGGACGAGCGACACAAAAGAAAGACTGGGAGGAACCTGTAAACTTATTGTCACTTAAATAGGGAATATAGTCAATGTGTTGTAATGATGGTATTATGCCAGATGGGTACTGGAAATATCGGGGAACACTTTGTAAAGTATATGATTGTCTAACCACTATTTTGTAACTAATATAAAACCTGAAACCAATATGAAATAATATTGAGTGTAAAGAAATGAAAATTGGAGTGAAATTTTTATAAATTTCAAAGTTTAAATAAAAGCTGTAAAGAAAGGAAGGGGAGAATAAAAAGAGTGTTTTTCATTTTACCACTTCATTATCTTTTCAGTACATGAAAAAGACAGTTGTCTTTATATGGTGCTTTTATACTTTTCTAAGTTATTGTCTCAATTTAATTTCTGGGCAACTTAAAGACAAGATAATGATTCTCTCCACTGTTCAAAGAAAGGTAATCTTGGTGTCTAGTCCTAATGATTCAATAGTCAAGCCCTTATTGTAAAGCAGAGTTAGTAAAATTTTCTGTGCAGGGTCATATCTATATTAATAAAAGCCTTGGGGTGATTAGGGTGGCAGGGGAGCAGTTAGGTGTCAATCAGGCTGTCAAGGGAGCAGTTAAGGGGTAATCAGTAAGGCAGGTGAGCAGTTAGGAGCCAGGGGTCCCAGATTGTGAGGGGAATGTCCAACTGCAGGTTTAGGCCTATGATGATCAGGCCTAAACCTGCAGTTGGACATCTCTTGAGGGGTCCCATATTGGAGAGGGTGCAGGCTGAGCTGAGGGACACTCTCCCCAGTGCACGAATTTTGTCCACCAGGCCTCTAGTCTATCTATAATTATCTATTTTTTCTATTTCTCTGGAGAACACTAACTAATGCATATATATTACTAGAGGCCCAATGCATGAAATTCATGCACTGGGGGGAGAGGGAGGAGAGGATGTGCACCTCAGCCCAGCCTTCACCTTCTCCAATCTGGGACCCTCAATGGATGTCCATCGGTTCCAAAGGATCGGGCCTAAACAGGCAGTCAGACATCGCTCTCACAATCCAGGAATGCTGGCTCCCAACTGCTCACCTGCCTGCCTTCCTGATTGCCCCTAACTGTTTCTGACTGCCAGCCTGATCACTCTCTAACTACTCCCCTGCCAGCCTAATTGCCCCTAACTGCGCTCCCCTTCAGGCCTACTCACCCCTAACTTCCCTCCCCTGCAGGCCTGGGTCACTCCTAACTGCCCTCCCCTGCTGGCTATCTTGTGGCAGCCATCTTGTGTTCACATGGAGGCAGCCATCTTTGACCACATGGTGCACCCATCTTGTGTGTTGGTGTAATGGTCAATTTGCATACTCTTTTATTAGATAGGATTGTAGCTTTCTCTTAGTTTGATGATTTGATTTACATTATGATATATTCTTCTTCATGTCTATTAAATCCTTCAATGTTAAATTATATCAAACTTTCTTTTGATTGGATATGGACCATCAGATAACAACATAACTACCTAACTTTGCAATAAAAAATATAGCAGTGGCCTTTAATTATGACATTGCATTTATTATATTGTAACCTTTCCTCATCTCATGCCTACTGATTAAGTTAGTTTCTACTGACTAACAGAATAAGCATGAGATAACTTTTAAAATGTATAATATACTCATCTGTAGAATTAAATATATAAATGCTATATGATATATAAATAATATAACATAAATTATATATGAGAATTCTAGTTTTCCTTGTTAGGTCAAAACAATAATATGCTGGTTTTGAATCTGAGGCAATCAGACAATACATGTGCCTTTTCTTTTCCATTTTTTCTGTCCATTGAAAATAATTACTCTGAAAAAATAAAGGGAAAAATGTCACTTGTATGCCCAATAAAATTAAAAAGGATGGTTAATTCAAAAAATAGCATAAGGGTAACCTCATTATAGAGTTCTATAATGTAATGAATTTTAACCAATATTTGAATATATAAATGCTAAATAATTAAATTATTTCAAAAAATGTTAAAAGATAACACTATAAAAATTTTAAATAATGAATTGAATACCATTTATGTTTGCTAATCCATAATGTAGCTTACACCATTGAAAATATTCTCTAGTTTAATGTCATTATATGCATCTTTTTTACTACCACCATTTAATATATATTTATATTATTTATATTTATCTAATACATTAAATTTTCTCTGTCTCTTCATCTCATCCTTCACATATTTTATACTTACTATGATATTATGGATTCTCTGTTTTCCAGGCTACTCTTGGGTTCACTCTCACTTTCAAGCTCCCTGTACATTAAAAAACAAATATAATTACTTAAAATTATATTTTCTTTGAAAATTACAGTATAAAACTCTGCACTATCTGTCTATACTGAAACAATTTCAAATTCCTTTCTGAGATCTGGGACTATCCCCTATATGAAACTGCTTTATCACTGAAATAATCTCTCACCGGTAATTAAGACTAACATGAGGAAAAAAACAATAGTAATATAAGTTTACCTAAAAATGGACATAGATAATTTTTATATTTATAATACTATTAGCTAAATAACTTTAAACTTTTTTGACATTTATCTTCTGCCCTGTTTCATTTATTTATTTATTTATCTTTCAGTTGCAGCTTACTTTCAATATTATTTTGTATTAGTTTCAGGTAGATGGCATAGTAGTTAGACCATCATACATTTTACGGTGTTCCCCACAATATTCCCAGTACCCACCTGGCACCATACATAATTATTACAATATTATTGGCTATTTTTCCATGCTATACTTTACATTACCATGACTATTTTGTATCTACCAATTGTACTTCTTAATCTCTTCACCTTTTTCACCTAGTCCCCAACCTACATTCCCTCTGGCAACCATCAGTCTGTTCTCTTTATGAGTCTCTTTCAATTTTGATTATTTATTTATTTTGTTCTTTAGATTTCACATATTAGTGAAGTTATATGGTATTCATCTTTCCCTGACTGACTAATTTCACTAACTACTCTCTGGGATTTCTCTGTTACCTTTTAATAAAATAGTGCATGCAAAATTCTTTGAAATATATAAATATAAAAATAAAGTAGTAATGGTTAATACATAGTTAATAATTAAGATGAAAAAATAAAAAGGTAAACAAAACATTAATTAGAAGTAATCTTAACTTAATTTTACCCCTAACAGAGTCCAAGTTGTTATAAGATTAAAATTTTTGACATTTAAAATAATTTTGTTCATTATTCATTATATAAATCCTTAATATGTTAGGAAGTATTAAATTTCCATATAAAAAATAAAATTAAATCTGAATTATTACTTGTAACATTATTATAATGTTATTTACTAATAAGTTACTATGGATATTAACAAATTATAAAAGTAATAAATCTTAAATATAAAATCAATATACTCATCGCTTGTATAGTCCTCAGTTTTCCATTTCTTTCTTTGGAAATAAAATTTTATCAGGGTTACTATCATTATAGAGAGAATAACACAAAAAGGAATGAGTAGGAAAAATGGCCATCTCGAAGGTTTGGAAGGATAAACATTGTCAAGATAGACTCTATCTAGAAAAGAAAACATCAGTGATTTAGAAGTAATTATGAGGAATATAGCAAAGACATGTTTGTATTTCAATATAGCTATTAGAATAAACTTTAAGATACTTAATTTTATAATTAATATTTTAGTGAAGTAGATAAGTTGATAGTTACAGTGACCTAGGAGACTCTTCTCTTACAATAATAGTTATATCCCTTGCTTTTGATTGAGCACCATCTATCCTATGTAGTCTGTTTAGAACTGTTTGATAATATAGATGAAAAGAATGAAAGTGTGATCTTTGTGTAAGTTGAGTTTTTCTCAATTTCTATTTTTAGTAAAAAATACTGTACATTTAATAAAATTTTTGTAAAGTCCAAATTATCTTTTCTTTTATTGCATTGATATATATTTTTATATTTTATCTACAAAATTATTTTATATGACAGGATCATGTAATTTTTTTTTCTGTTTCATTCAAGAAGATTTATACTTTCAGCTTCTTCCTTTAGATTTATTCCATATCAATTGTTAACTAATTTGAGATCTTTTAGGTTCTTTAGCTTATGTTGCTATCCAGTTATTATAGTACAATGTTTTGAAATGAGTTTCCTTATACATTAAACTATCTTTGTACTTTTCTTGAAAAATTAATTAAACTTATATTAATGGATAAATTTATAGCCTCTCTATCTATATATACATATATATAAAAGTTTAAGTGATGGTCGCAACCAAAACAACTGAACTGATGACTGAACAGGCTATGTGGGGCAACCAGGCCAGCAGGGGGATTAGTGAGGGACGACCAAATGACTGAGCAGCAGGCTGTGTGGGGTGACCAAGTAGGCAGGGGGGCATTTAGGGTGACCAGGCAGGCAGGTCAGCAGTTAGGAGCCAGTGGTCCCTGATTGTGGGAGGAATGTCTGACTGCTGGTTTAGGCTTGTTCTTCAGGATCGGGCATAAACTGACAGTCAGACATCCACTGAGGGGTCCCAGATTGGAGAAGGTGCAGACTGGGCTGAGGGGAATCCTCTCCCCCACTCCCCTTCCCCCACCGAGTGCACTGGGCCTCTAGTCCTATCTAATACAAGGGTAATATACAAATTAATTGTCACTGTGTTACAAAGATGGCAGTGCCCATAGCCACAAGATGATGGAGTCCCCTAGTCCCGGGTGAGTGGCCACTGAGAGTGGGCAGTATGTGTGGCCTGGAGGAATGCTCTTTGTCACTGTGGTGACAAGGAAAGCATTCCACCCCAGCCGCGGATAGGCCTCTGACCGAGTTGGGCAGCTGTGGGCCATGAGGCCTGCCAGGGAGGGCAGTTGTTGCCCATGATACCTGCTGGGGAGGGCAGTGGGGGGCGATCAGGCCAGCAGTGAGGGTGGGGGAGTTGGGGGGGGAGCAGGCTGACAGGGGGAAGTAATTGGGAGTAAGCAGGCTGGCAGGCAGAGTGGTTAGGGGTGATTGGACAGGCAGGCAGGTGAGCAGTTGGGAGCCTATGGTCCTATAATAGATTGGGAGAGGGATGTTTAACAGCCAGTTTAGGCTTGATTCCACAGGGACTTCCCCTGGCAATTGGACATCTCCTGAGAGGTCCCAGATTGGAGCAGGTACAGGCTGGGCTGAGGGATACCACTCTTCCCTCTCCCCTCTTCCCCCCCCCCCCCCCCGCACTAATCTTGTGCATCGGGCTACTAGTCTATATATATGCATAATATGCAAATTGACCGGATAGCAAAATGACTGGCCAACTGTGACTGGCCAACTGTGATACTCAATGCAGGAGCTTCCCCCAGCCTGCAGGCCCAGATTGCTAGATGGAGAATGGGGAACCAGAGGTGGGTGGCAGCAGTCACAGGAGGCATCAGGGCCCTGATTATCCTGCCAGTCGTCCCACACACAGAGGACAACTGGCAGTGACAGGGATCAGGGATGGCTAGCAGGCAGGAATAGTTGACCTCTCAGTCCTTCCACCCAGCCAGTAGATTTAGTCGCCCAATGGGGAACTGGGAACTAGGGGTGGGTGGCAGCGGAGGCGGACAGATAACCCTGCCAGTTGCTCCACACACAGAGGGTGACTGGCAGCAGTGACAGTGGGGGTTGGGGGAAGTGGGGCTGGAAGCTGGCAACTGGGAAAGATTGGCCTTGGTCCCAAGCCAGGCCTAGGAACCCTACCTGTGCACTAATTTCATGCACTGGGCCTCTAATTTCATTACATTGGTCTACTTGCATATTTATCCTATTCAAATGCCACACTATCTTGATTAATTTAACTATAAATTAAATTTATGCTATACAAAATTCAATAAAAGGCAATAAGACAAATAGACTAAATTGTTCATTGTCATTCCTTTTCAGAGTTGTTTGGTTATTCTAAGTGCTCTTTTGTTTATTTTAGAATAAAATTATCTTACCTAATATTAGACAAACGTAAATTGACTGTATCTCCACTACACCCAACAGCCAATCAGGAGTGGTATGCAAATTAACCCAACAAAGATGGCAGCTAAGTTGAATACAGAGGCACCGAGCCACCATGACAGTCCAGGCGCTAGGCGACGATGCATGCATTCTGCCCCCATCCCTGGTCTCTCAGGGCCTCTGGGCAGTGTGGAAAGATGGGACCGGAGCAAAAAGTGAAGGCTCTGGGCAGGGTCAGAGTGGAAAGATGGTGAAGGCAGCCAGGGAAAGGAAGGCCCATTCTAGCATAAATCTTCGTGCATAGGGGTTCTAGTTAACATATAGAAATAAAGCAATCTATAGATTCAATGCAATCCCCATTAAAATACCAATGGCATATTTCAGCCAGGACCAGTTTGGCTCAGTGGTAGAGCATCGGCCTGCGGACTGAGGGGTCCCCGGTTCGATTCCGGGCAGGGGCATGTACCTTGATTGCGGGCACATCCCCAGTTGGGGGTGTGCAAGAGGCAGCTGATCGATGATTCTCTCTCATTGATGTTTCTAACTCTCTATCTCTCTCTTCCTCTCTGTGAAAAATCAGTAAAATATATTTTAAAAAATAATAAATAAATAAATAAAATACCAATGGCATATTTCAAAGATCTAAAACAAACTCTCCAAAAATTTACCTCAAATATAAAAAGACCTTGAATAGCTACAGAAATCCTGAGAAAGAAGAACAAAGGATCACAATACCAGATATCAAGTTATATTACCAAGCCACAGTTCTCAAAACTGCCTTGTACTGGCACAAGAACAGATATATAGATCAGTGGAACAGAACAGAGAACCAGAACTTGACCCAAGCCATTATGCTCAATTAATATTTGTCAAAGGAGGCAAGAGCATACAGTGGAGTCAAGACAGTCTCTTCAATAAATGGTGCTGAGAAAACTGGTCAGATGCATGAAAAAAAAAATGAAACTGGATCACCAACTTAAACCGTACACAAAAACAAACTCAAAATGGCTAAAGGACTTAAATGTAAATGGGAAACCATAAAAATCTTACAAGACTCCATAAGCACCGAAACCGGTTTGGCTCAGTGGATAGAGCATCGGCCTGTGGACTGAAAGATTCGGGTCAAGGGCATGTACCTTGGTTGCGGGCACATCCCCACTGGGGGGTTTGCAGGAGGCAGCTGATCAATGTTTCTCTCTCATTGATGTTTCTAACTCTCTGTCCCTCTCTTTTCCTCTCTGTAAAAAAGTCAATAAAATATATATTTTTAAAAGACTCCATAGGCAGCAAAATAGCAGACATATGTCATACCAATATCTTTATGGACTCTGCTCCTAGGGCAATGGAGACTAAGTGGGACTACATCAAAATAAAAAGCTTCTGCCCAGCAAAAGAAACCATCAAAAAAATAACAAGAAATCCCACTGCATGGGAGAACATATTTGCCAAGGTTATTTCTGATAAGGGTTTGATCTTCAAAATTTACAGAGAATTCATACAACTTAACCAAAGGAAGATTAATGATCCAATAAAAAAATGGGCAAAGGATCTAAATAGATACTTTCAGGGTGGCTATCATTAACAAATTAACAAATGACAGTTGCTGGCAAGGAAGTGGAGAAAATGAACCCTCCTGCACTACTGGTGGGAATGTAGACTGGTGCAGTCACTGTGGAAGACAATATGGAGTTTCCTCAGAAAGTTAAAAATGGAACTCCCATTTTACTCACTGATCCCACTTCTAGGACTATATTGCAAGAAACCAGAAACACCAGTCAGAAAGGATATATGCACTCCTATGTTCATAGCAGCACAATTTACAATAGGTAAGATTTGGAAACAGCCAAAGTGCCCATCAGCAGATGAGTAGATTAAAAAACTGTGGTACTTCTACACAATGGAATACTATGCCGTTATAAAAAAGAAGGAACTTTTACCATTTGCAACAGCATGGATGGAACTGGAGAGCATTATGCTAAGTGAAATAAGCCAGTCGGAGAAAGATAAATATCACATGATCTCATTCAGGTGTGGGATATAATGATCAACATAATTTGATGAACAAGAATAGATCCAGAGACAAATGACAGGGGAGGGGGATTAGAGAGCAACCAAAAGACTTGTATGTATGAATATTAGCATAACCAATGGACAGAGGCACTGGGGTGATTGGGGCTTGCCCAGGGTGGGAATGGCTGGGGGTAAGGGGTTATTTGGGGGAAAAGGAGACATATATAAAACTTTAGACAATAAAAATAATAAAAATATAAACAGCAAACTTTTCTAAAGCCAATAAAACATATAAAAAGCTGCATGCTTTTATGCTTCTTTAAATCTATAGATTTAATTTGCTGAGAATTTAAATTTTCACAATAATAAGCTTTGCAATAGATTAATATGGCATTTTTCTTTATTCATGTGTTTAACATTTATCTACATTTTGTTTTAGTTTCAGTGCTTATTTTTTGTTAAATTCATTCCTAATATTTTATATTTTTATGGTATTATAAATAGTTTCCATTTACTACTACTATTATATAATAACTAGAGGCCTGGTGCACAAAATTCGTGCATGAGGGCAGTAGGGTGCTGTCCCTCAGCACAGCCTGCACCCTCTCCAATCTGGGACCCCTCGAGGGATGTCCGACTGCCCCGTGGGATTGGGTCTAAATGGGCAGTCGGACATCCCTCTCACAATCCAGGATTGCTCGCCTGCCTGCCTTCCTGATTGCCCCTAATCGCTTCTGCCTGCCAGCCTAATCACCCCCTAACCACTCCCATGCCAGCCTAATTGATGTCTAACTGCAACCCTGCCTAGCCCTGATGTCTAATTGCTCCCCTGCCATCTCAGATTGGAGATGGTGCAGGCTGGGCTGAGGGACACCCTCCTGTGCACAAATTTCATTCACCAGGCCTCTAGTAGACTAAAACTTTTGAGCAGTTTCCTACAGTTCTTTCTACCACACATCATCCAGTGCCAAAGCTATTGTCACACATATTTAAATATTTGTTATATAAATACACCTTCTGGTATCAAATTATTTTCATTTATATATGAGAAAGATAGATATATAGGTGTGATAGATGATGATGATGATGATAGATAGATAGATAGATAGATAGATAGATAGATAGATAGAGCTTTGTAAACAACTACAAATTTAGTAACTTAAAACATTCATTTAAAATTGATCATTGTGTGGGTCATGAATTTGTGAAGGGCTTAGTTGTGTAGTTGTAGTTTTGTGCCTCAATGTAATCAAATTTCATACAGAGCTAATGAGTTTCAACAGAATAAGTGGTCCAAGAAAGAGAACCAAGAATTTGTATCCAAAAGACCCAGTCAGAATCTGTAGGAAGATTATGGCAGTTCCAGAATCTCACTTCTGAACATTTTATTGATTAATCATATTAATAAGCTCAACCTAGATTCTAGCAAAGGAGTGGTCTCTTCTGCTCACTGGGGAAATGGCATGTGTGTGCATGAACAGAAGCAATTGATTTCAACTGATTTAACAAAGCTGCTACCTGTTGATTGTTACTACTAAAATGGAAACATCTTGATAATGCTTAAATGTTATAATTTATTAATCTATTACATATGTGGTCTTGAACAATGAAACAAATGTGGAAATGTTAAGAACTACCACTGGCACAAAATCTGAAAAACCTGCTTTAATTATATGCAAATTTTGGTTTTTATATAAAGTCTGGCCTTCTGCATCCCTGGATATGCTGGCTTGCTCCAAGGTCCATTCCTGAACTGAACAAAAACAATTATAGGATACTACATTCCCCCAGTTTATTGACTTTTTGTCTTCTAGTTAGATTTATCCAATGGAAGTCATTAGATACAATTCAGAGTATCAGAAGAGTGAACTACCCATGGTATTTTCCTCTTTCCTCTCCCACATCACTAATAATGGCTATGAATGCTCCATATCTCTACCTCATGCTGGACAGTACCTCCCTTTGTGGATTACATACTAAAATATAGATATGACCAAAGTTATATGTCGTGCCACATGGCCCAGATTCAGGTTCCAGAAATGCCTCCTCCTTTTATTGTTCCAGTAGGCCCAAGAAGTAATGGATTTTTGCTATTGTTAACCTCTGGTTTGCTTCTCCATTCTCTGCTTGGTTTTTATCTCTGCCATTATGTCTTACCTGATGCCTTCTGTATAAATTCTTTCTGTATAAAAGAACTAATCTAATTTCTATTTTCCTGCCTTGGCCCTGACACACCTCATCTACAATGTATATTAACTATGTTCTATTACATTACTCTCTGTAAGTAAAACATAAGTTAAATAGATCGTCAAACCTTAGAGGGAAGGTGGGGGGAGGTGGGGATTAGGGGGAGAGATCAACCAAAGGACTTGTATGCATACATTATGGCCTAATCAATGGACACAGACACCAGGGGGTTGAGGGCACGAGTAGAGGGGTGGGGAAGCAAAGGGTATATAAGGACACATATGTAATACCTTAATCAATAAGAAAAAAATGTAGCTATATGTCATTTACTATTTGATGTTCAAATATAATCTAAATATAAATTGATAGACAAAACAGTATTTATTTCTTTAATTTAATAAGTTAAGATGTGTTTTAATTGTATTTTCAATTTGCTAATAATACTTACCAAGATTACGGGCTTGGATCTGTGAAACTGGAAAATTGCCACTGTCAATACTCCCACCAGGAAATGTAGAATCTTCACTTTGGCAATCTGGAGGTAAATAGGTGGGTTTACAGTGGCAGTTTTTTTTATTATTGCATACCTAAAAACAGAAAAAAAATGTCACTTTATAATACAAATAGTTCAAATTATTTATGTACAAGTAGAATTTTAAAATAATACTTAAGTTAGAAAAGACCAATTTTTTTATGTGGCTTATGAGTAAATGAATGTGTGTGTGTGTGTGGGTGTGGGTGTGGGTGTGGGTGTGTGTGGGTGTGTGTATGTGTGTATGTATGTTTAGATGTGTGTTTGCTTTTCTATGTTCATTCTCAATGATCCTTATTCTTGTGTGACATAGTACTGATACTTACACCTTGATTGTTGCATTTTTGTGCAGTACAGTCATAACCCAAGTCATTATCTACACACTGATTTTGCTTGCACACCTAAAAAGGAGATAAGCCAAAGTAAGTTAGTTGAAATGTCATCTGGATTTGTCATCTAATTAAGAGATATTGGTTTAAGAATAAATACTATATACAAACAATAAGTAATTTATAGTGCTACTATGTTTTTATCACTAGATGAGACTCTGATTATCTGAGAGTAAGCAAAACATTAAACACATCTTACCTGCTTTTACTAAGATGGAAGGTACAGGCATGAAATAAATAAAATCAAAGATTAACATGTGTTAACTAGTACAATGAAAAAATAGTTATATTAAAAATACAGGGAATTTGATCTCCTTCCGGATGATGGTGGCATAGGTAAATGCCTAACTGCAGTCTCGCACAACAATTTCAAAAAATACAACTAAAATACAAAATGGACATTATCTAGAACTACAGGAAAGTTGACTGACTGGAAATTCTACAACTAGAAGGAGAGAGAAAACCAGAAGGAAAATCAGAAGAGCTGTAAAAGCCTAAGGTACGGAGACACGGTGCATGAGGGGAGAGGATGGAGCTGAAGAGGAGGGGGAGGCTGAGTACCTGAGTGGCTGGCATTCCCTAGCAGGAAGGAGGTAAAAGCTCTGGACTGGGCTGAACCCCAGTTCCGACAACACTGAACCCAAGTTCTGGGCGAGACCTGGGAACCCAGGCTCATACAGAGGGAATCTAGGCTGTAAGGCAGAAACTCAGAGGAGTGGCAGAAGGCAGAGTCCCAGAGGTGCGCAATTTTCACCCAGAGGACTGACTGTGCCACTGGATTGCCCTAGCAGGAAGGAGATAAAAGCTCTGGAGTGTGCTGAGACCCAATTCTGACTGCACTGAACCCAAGTTTTAGGCCAGACCATGGGGAACCAGGGTCATACGAAGGGAATCTGGGCTGTAAGATGGAAACCCAGGGGAGCAGCGAAAGGCAGAGTCCTGGAGGTGCGCACGTTGCATGCAGAGGACGGACTGTTGACTGTGCCTCTGAATTGCCCTAGCAGGAAGGAGACAAAAGCTCCAGACTTCACTGAACCAAACTTCCAACCCCACTTCCAACTGCACTGAACCCCAGTTCTGGGCTCATTGGGGGAGAGACTAGACTGTCTAGTAGCAGGTGAAACTCAAGAGCACCTTTCTCTCAGAGATTCTTGCAGCGAGTACCAAAGCAGCGAGTACTAAAGGACACTGAGGAACACTGAGACTCAGGAACTTCATAGGGAGGGGCTGACAGGAAGTCAAGGCTGTAAGCTCCACCTTGAAACTCCGCCCCATCTAAGCTGAGCACAGAGGCTTTTGCAACTTTCCAAGTCTAGTCAAATAAGGCTGTCTCCCAGCATAGACACAGCTAATCCTCACAGCCAATTGGCCTGGAGGTCAGTTCTCCCAGTGATACTAACAACAATTAAGACTTAACTACAATAAGGCTTGTACACACAGTCCACAAAGGGGTGCACCAAGAGTGTCCACCTCAGGTAACTGGGAGGCTGACCCACTGAACCATATAGGATACATTAGCACACAAAACTACCCTACCAACTCAGGGAAGCTGTGAAAATGCCGAGACAAGGAAACAGATCACAAATGAAAGAAATGGAGGACAAAAAGTGACTGGATATAGAGTTCAAAACCATGGTTATAAGGTTTTTCAAGAATTTCCTAGAAAAGGCCAATGAAATAAATGAGACCTATGAGGATAGGAAAAGGGATCAACTATAAATAAATAAAAAAATATACAGGGTCCTAAAAACAGGATGGAAGATTGCAAGAATCAAGTCAAAGATTTGGAACATTAAGAGCCAGAAGACACACCTCTGCAGAAGCAAGAAGACAATAGAATCCAGAAAGTTGAAGATAATGTAAGAAGCTTCTGGGACAACTTCAAGTGAACCAACATCAGAATTATGGGGGTCCCAGAATAAAAGAGAGAGCAAGGTACCAAAAGAATACTGGAAGAAATAGTGACAGAAAACTTCCCCCACCTGGTGAAAGAATTAGACTTACAAGTCCAGGAAGCCCGCAGAACCCCAAACAAAAAGAATCCAAAGAGGACCATACCAAGACATATCATAATTAAAATCCAAAGAGCAAAAGACAAAGAGAGAATATTAAAAGAAGCAAGAAAAAAGCAGGTAGTTACCTATAAAGGAGCACCTATACGATTGTCAGTTGATTTCTCAACAGAAACCAGGCAGGCCAGATGGGAATGGCAAGAAATATTCAAGGTGATGAATAGCAAGAATCTACAGCCAAAAATACTCTACCCAGCAAAGCTATCATTCAGAATCCAAGGCCAGATAAAGAGCTTCTCAAATAAAAAAAAGCTAAAGGAGTTCGTCACCACCAAACCAGAATTATATGAATTGCTGAAGGGGGTTCTTTAGGAAGAGGAAGAAGATAAAGATAAAAATTATGAACAACAAATACATAACTATCAACAAGTGAAACTAAAAACCAAGGAAATTAAAAAATCTGATGAACAATATTAACTGGTGAATATAATAGAATCAGAGGTATGAAAGGTGAGTGAACTGATGATTCTTGGAGGAAAAGGGGAGTAGAGGGTGCAGGAAGAGACTGAACATAAACTGTGTGCCTATGGATGAGGACAATGGGGGGTGGGGAAAGGGCAGAGGGTGGGGTGGGAACCTGGTGGAGGGGAGCAATGGAGGGAAAAAAATGAGGAACATTTGTAATAATATGAACAATAAAGATTTATTTTTAAAAAATACAGAGAATTTACTAATATATGAGAACAGTAAAATATATGTAAGCACTAACATTGAACAGAATTTAATCAAGCATAGAAATGAAAGACAGGTACTTGTAGAAAAAGAAATAATATTTAAAATGACCCTACATTTGAAATAGTACAGAACCTTTGAAAAATATTAAGGGCAATGTAGCTGTTACACAGAAAACAGCCATTGAATGATTGATTAATATTTGAGTTCTACAATGTATTTTGCCCTGAAAAAACACACACACATACAAAATCCTAGTGTCATATTACAGTAAAAGATAAAGAAACACAAACACAGACCCCCCCCCAAAAAAAAATCCCTAAGCATGATATGACTAAAGTTCTTATGGCAGGTTTGTGTAGGACCCTCTGATCCCAATCAGAAAGTTGGCTTGTTACCTATAATCAATTGGTTTTATTTAGAGATTTAATTGAAAATGGGAAGCCAATAAAAATAGGTTTGGGAAAAGAAGATGGAAAGGCAAAAGAAAATGTAGAGAGATAAATTAGAATATCATTACAATAAAAAGTCCAAAAAAATAACTGTAGAGTGAAATTGAGTGGTATTGGTTTAGATGGTAACTAGTAGTTGTATTTGAGATATAGTTAAAAAATTTAATCCACCTAAATTTAGTGATAGATATGATGGAAAGAGAGATGGGCCAGTGACAGCAAGGTTTCCAGCTTGTCTAACTCTTTTGGTTGTGGTACAATTAATTGAGATAGGGAAAGCTAAGCATAAAGTTCAAAAGTTTACAATATTTTGTACGATTTCTTTCAACTTGTAATATTAAGTAACACTATGCTTTAAAAATTAAAAATAATGTTTATTGCACTCATAGAAAACCTTAGGGTAACTGTTAATAAACCAAATAGCACATAATTGGAAATGTTATTTTTACAAAAGTTTTCTAAATAATATTGGAAATATTTATTTGGGATTCTTTACTCTTGAAATATGTATGACAATAATGTACTAATTTTTTTTTAAGGTCAGAGAATGAATAGAATCTGCTCACATAGATTTTGCTAAACATTACTGAGCAGGAAGAATACATTATTGATAGTGTCTGATAATTATAGCAACACATGACTCTAAGACTTAGAAAGAAATAAACTGATGACAAGTAGAGTCAGGTTATTTTGAGTGGTTGTAGAAAAAGCTTTGGATACAGACTAGTGTTCCTGCAGCTAAAAATATATCTGTTCTGTTAGAATGATCCCTTAACACCTAACTAGAACTTAGGCAGTGAAGTTAGATATATAATTATCAGAGCTGTTGTCCAGAAGAAGATAAACCTAATTCTCAGAATTATTAAATAAATTCTTTGAGCCACACTAAAAAGTTGAGAAGGAATTATTGATATTGTTTCTGTGCAATTAAATTTTTTTTCTGATTTAGCTTGTTTACTTCATGACCGGTGGCTCTGATGCACACTGTGGCAGCCAACCAGCCTGGTCCAGCCCCCTTTTGCCTCTTCCAAGCCGACCCATGCACGAATTTTATGCACTGGGCCTCTAATTGAATAATAAAATTAAATAATAGAATGGGATGTTTTTGTAAAAATTATGCATTTAGTATAACATCATTATGTTATATATTGGTGTCCTAAAAGAATGTATAATATATACAATGTCTGTAGTTATATTACATTCTCTAAGAGAGAGAGAAGGAGAGAGAATGGATAGAATGCTCATAAAAATAGAAAGAGTAGTTACACCTCATCTATGTACCTTCTATCAATTTTTTACTAATTTTTTTACTTAATTAAAAATTAATACCTTCTATTAATTTTTTACTAAGTAAAATTAAAATTAATTTTACTCTATTCATTCTTTACTAGAGGCCTGATGCACAAAATTCGTGCAAGAGTAGGCCTTCTGTCCCCCAGCTGCCACCCCCAGCTTCTCTCCAGCTGCCAGCAGGCATCTGGAACCTGGGCTTCTATTGTAGCCCCAGTTTCGTCTAGGTCATCCGGAAGTACATCCAGAAGGACATCTGGTCTAATTGGCATATTATGTTTTTATTATTATAGACTAGAGGCCCAGTGCATGAAAATACATGCACTGGAGGGGTTAGTCCTTCAGCTTGGCCTGCTCCCTCTACAGTCCGGGGCAGGAGGCTACCTGGTGATCAGGGGAAGGCAATGCCCCCCATCGCACCTCTGCTGCTATCACTGTCGACAACATGAGCCTCAGCCAGCCCTGGTTACCTGAGCCTCAGGCTGGCCCTGAGTGACTGGGCAGCCACCATCAGAGGCTTGTCTGCATCTTGGGTTGGCCCTGGGCAAGTGGGCAGCTGCCATCGGTGGCTTGCCTGTGCCTCAGGCCCTGGATAACTGGGCAGCCACCCATAAGACTTGCCTGCATCTCAGCTGGTCCTGCTTGCCTGCACCTCAGTGCGGAGATTGGGCACTGCCATCTTGTGGCTATGGGCACTACCATCTTGTGAGGTCATAACAGTCAATTAGCATATTCCCTCTTTATTATATAGGATTATTCTTATCACTAAAATGGTAATATATTATTTAACAGTTATTTTAAAGTAACTATAATATATCATAAGATAGGTCATAACATTAGAAATACTCTGTTATAATTTAACAAAATACAGTGAATGAACAATGTGATTCTCAGATCAGTGATTGTAAAAAAAAAATAAGTGAAATATTCATGGTGATATCATATATGCATGAAAACAGATTATGTATTTTTTCTTTTTTAGTTTTTTATTATTTAAGATTTTTATATTTTATTGTTTTTTAAATTAAATATGTATTTCAATTATAAGGAAAATACTAATCATGTATATAAAAATAGAGTATAAATTAGAAAGTCATTTGAGACTAAAAGCATACATACCTTATTTGTACCACAAACAGTTCCATCTCTTACCCACATCTTCTGTGCATTAGCATGGTCATATTTATATTCCAATGAGACACAGATATTTCCATTTATATTAGTATAAATAACAATAGCTTCTGAATTTTCAAGTATAACGTCACCTTCATATATACATATTAATTTTCCACACAACACATCTCTATAATTTACAAATAAATGGAAATCATTAGTTTTAAACACAAATAAATATTAGAATATCATTTCTAAAGCAAAAATAATTAAATTATTATTTTTAATATATTTTATTGACTTTTTACAGAGAGGAAGAGAGGGATAGAGAGCTAGAAACATTGATGAGAGAACACCCCCTACCAGGGACGTGCCGCAACCAATGTACATGCCCTTGACAGGAATCGAACCTGAGACCTTTCAGTCCGCAGACCGATGCTCTGTCCACTGAGCCAAACCTGTTTCGGCTAAAGCAAAAATATTTAAATAAAGCAGTGAAGTTTTGAAAAAAATTATATGCAATTAATTTTACCTGCACTGATAATAATGGAACATTTTAGTAATGATAAACTGCTTTCTAGATAACCTGATAATTTTTGTAATGATTCTTTTACTTTTTTGATTCTTAGACATAATCAGTTTCCAGTTTATTCTATCTTTAAAAATTAGCAAAGTTTATCCTTTTCAGTTTTTTAAACATAATGCCTACTCTCACCATTATGGGTAAAGTCTTTGAAATATTTTACGTAATAAATATTAACATGTAATCAATAAATATATTATAATGATAACTCTGTAAAACACAAAAATTATGCAAGTAGCCAGAAAATAAGAAAAAGCATTAATAATCTCCAATATTTATAGAGAACTCATACAATTTAACAAAACAAAATACACAATCCAATTTTAAAAAATGGGCAAAAGACCTAAATAGACACTTTTTGAAAGAGTACATAAAGAAAGCCAAAAGACATATAAAACATGCTCAGAGTCACTAATGATCCAAGAGATGCAAATTAAAATGACAATGAGTCACCATCTTACACCTGTCAGAATGATCTTTAACAAATCAACAAATGAGAAGTGCTGGTAAAAAGGTGGAGAAAAAGGAACCCTCATGCATTGCGGGTGAGAATGCAGACTGGTACGTCACTGCGAAAAACATTTCCTCAAAAAATTAAAAATAGTACTCACTTTTGACCCAGTAATCCCATTTCTAGGAATATAACCCAAGAAATCAGAAACACCTATCAGAAATAATCTATGTACATAGCAGCACAATTCACCATAGCTAAGGTTTGGAAACAGCCTAAGTGCCCATCAACAGATGAGTGGATTAGAAAACTATGGTACATCTACACAATAGAATACTACATCACTATATAAAAGAAAGAACTCTTACCATTTGCAACAGCATGGGTGGATATGACGAGCAATATGCTAAGTGAAATAAGCCAGTAGGAGAAAGATGATATTACATGATCTCACTCACTTGTGGAATATAAAGAACATAAACTGATGAACAAAAATGAATCCACGCCTCCACTCAAGGATACAAAGTTTCAATTATAGAAGATAAATCCCAAGAAAGATGGCTACAGCCACGGATCTGGAGAGAGAGGGCTAGGGTTGCCCCCATGCCAAGCTTTCCACCTGCCCTTGCCACTCTAGGCCTCCACTCCAGGCTACAGAGTTTCAATTATAGATGTAAATAAACTCCAAGAGAAATGGCTGCTGCCACAGAGCAAGCAGAAGGCTTGGCTTCCCTCTAGGCTACAAAGTTTCAGTTGTAGAAGATAAATAAATCCCAGATACCAGGGCCTCTGCTTGGGGGGTGGGGGGGAGCGGGACGGAAATGACTGGCCTGCAAACCACCACAGGCCCCTCACCCAGGCCAACCCACGCCCCAAGGGAACCCCCATCCTGATCCAGGACACCCTTCAGGGCAAACCAGCTGGCTGGCCCCCACCCATGCACCAGACCTCTATCCTATCTAATAAAAGAGTAATATGTAGATTGATCATCACTCCAACACACAAGATCAAGATAGTAAAATATTCTGCCCCCATGTGGACACAAGATGGCCACAACAAGATGGCCCACAGTGGAGGGCAGTTGGGAAGGACCAGACCTGCAAGGGAGGACAATTGGGGGCAATCTAGCTTGCAGGGGAGGGCAGTTAAGGGTGATCAGCCCAGCAGAGGAGGGAAGTTGGGGGCAGACAGGCTGGTAGGGGAGCAGTTAGACATCAATCAGGCTGGCATGGGAGTGGTTAGGGGGTGATCAGGCTGGCAGGCAGAAGCCGTTAGGGGCAATCCAGAAGGCAGGCAGGTGGGTAGTTGGGAGCCAGCTGTCCTAGATTGTGAGAGTGGTCCCAGATTGGAGAGGGTGCAGGCTGGACTGAGGGAACACCCCCTCTCCCCCGCCTCACCTCATGCATGAATTTCATGCATTGGGCCTCTAGTATGTAATATTTTCAACAATAAAAAATTTAAATTAAAAAAATGTGATTCCACCTTTGGCCATGGGTTATGTTGTTTCTGGGGCACTGTCACCCAAACCTGGTTTACTGTCGAGCTGAGGTAACTGCAGATGCCCTTGGAGCCATGGCACTGCCCCAGGAACAGGCAGCCAGGGAGGGACTGCACTGCGGGAGGTTGGCTCCAGGTCCTGTCTGGCGTGTCTCATCCAGTCCTGCCCCATTGGCCACCTTCTAATTAATTTCCTTTAAATGTGCAGAAATCTGTGCATTGGGCCACTAGTGTTATATAATGGGGGGGAAAAAACACAAAAAACTAGAACAAACTGTTTACATCCATTACTTATATTTATCTAAACTCCTAAATATTTGCTAAGCTAAATTTAACATCTCTTTACCTTTTAATTGAGTACTTTTAAAATTAAGAGTTCAAGGATCAAAGTGATATTAATAAACAAAGTACACAAATTATATACTGTAGAGCTATCCCTATGTCCATTATTTAAAATATTTGCAGTATTGTAACAAAATGGATATCATCAAAATTATGTCTAATGGCCGAAACCGGTTTGGCTCAATGGATAGAGCGTCGGCTTGGGGACTAAAGGGTCCAGGGTTCGATTCCGGTTAAGGGCATGTACCTTGGTTGCAGGCATATCCCCAGTAGGGGGTGTGCAAGAGGCAGCTGATCGATGACTCTCTCTCATCGATGTTTCTAACTCTCTATCTCTCTCCCTTCCTCTCTGTACAAAATCAATAAAATATATATATATTTTAAATTATGTCTAATGGATTACTGTCCATATCTGCTTGTGGCACATGTTATACCATAAATTTTTTATTTAGTCCATGAGTTCTGTTTGAGGTCATAAAGTCTACCACACATCCATTGCTACTTCAGAGGAGTCAACAAATTCTCCTGCACTAGAGAGACTAATTCCAGCCCAACTATATAGCATGTTCTCTAAATAACGTTCTACTTGGCATAAAATCTTAGCAATAGTAAAAATATAGATATGTTAGAACAGCTTTTCAGGATGGGAGTACCAATTTTCTGTGACCTGATATTTTGCCTTTTTTGCAAAAGAGGAAAATTTAAGAGAGAAGAGTAGCCCCTGGCATTCAGGTGAAGTTCTGATATTACAGCAAGGCCTTGAATTTGATACAAGCTAAGCTGCACTCATTGCTAGACCACGGTATTTACCTGTTAAACACAGGGCAGTATAAGAATATCAACTTTAGGTAAAGACATTCAGTGACTATGTAGATCAAGAAATAAAAAGTCCACACCATAAATCATCTCTGAACATAGGAAGATAAGAAATAAACATTATCGAAGCAACAAAATTACCAAACATCCCTCTCATCCATCCAATATGAGTGACTATTGTTTTATTACCAACTAGAGGCCCAGTGCATGTATTCATACACCAGTGGAGTGTCTTGGCCTGGCCTGTGGGTATTGGGCCAAAACTGGCTCTCCAACATCCCCCAAAGGGGATCAGATTGCGAGAGGACAGTTCTCAGGTGACACAACCTGGAATCGGGCTCCCTCCTCTCTGGTTTCAGGTGCGTCACCTGAGAACTGCCGCTACCAAGTCAGTAAACTCTGCAGCTGGGGTGTTGTGCATCTTCCCCCTGGTGGTCAGTGTGAGTCATAGCTACTGGTTGAAGCATCTGGCCCCTGGTGGACATTGCGTGTCCTAGCTACCAGTTGGATGGTCAGATAGTCGCTTAGTCTTTTATGTATATAGATTACAGCTTTAGCTTCACTCTCTAGTCTTCCTTCTTCACATATAATTTATTAAGATATCTGATCACAGAATCACTTTCACTTCCTGAAAACATCCAATTCAGAGCATTGATCCACTTCCTGAATTCCTACTGAAAATTACTTAACACAAGCTTAAGTCCTATAATAAGTTTCTAAAACTCTGGAGCTAAGATGTTTCACAGTTTCCCATAGTGTAAAGTCTCACTGACTGGAAGCTGTAAGAAACTAAACTTGTTCAATTGCAGGTGTAACACAGAACTTAAGAATCACTTATACAGTTAAGAAGTAGGTTGAAGTTGGTTCTAGTTAGGGTAGAATTTTAGTCTAACACACACACACACACACACACACACACACACACACACACACACACACACTGAAAGCTTTGGACTATAATCAGAGAGGGATGAATTGAATGTGATAATTGAGCCATAAGAATGGAAACTCCAGATGAGACATTTTGGATTCTGGCTTAAAAAAAAATCCACAAAACATATTAAATCTTCTTAGTTTGAAAAACCAAAAGGCAGAATTAGAAGATGGGCCTAATGTCAATTTGGTGACTGAAAATTAAAAGGAACTGAGCACTAAGATGTCTATATGAACTTCACCCTAAATCCTTTCTAACCATTGATTGAACTAAGCATGTACAATGAACACTCCAGGGAATTATTAAAGTGCATCTTAAAGGTAAGTAAAGAATATTATTTTCAGCTGCTGCTCATAAAAAATATATTATTTATGAGTCTAGCTGTGTTCAATCCCTTCAATTCTACAGCCTTCTGAAATGCATAAAAATAGCCCAAAGTTTCATTGTATATTATTCATAGTATTCATTATAAAATAAAATAAATGCTAGGCATATAAAAAATTAAAATGTGACATAGTCAAGATGCAAATAAATCACTAAATACCCAATATCAAAATGACCCAGATACAGTGATTAGCAGAGAAGCACTTTGTAGCAACTACTATATAAATTACCAGGGATATAAAGGAAAACATAGTCATATTAGTTAGAAGGTTTTCTTTAGTCAGTATATACTTTAGCAATTATAAAACACACTTCTGTATATTCTGGATTTGAGTATATGGAAAATCAATTTATAAATGTACTAAGATGTACTTTGTGGTGTGCATACCATATGTCAGTCCCATTTTAAGTGCTTTTCATAGACTACTGAAACTCCCCACTGGCACCAGCGCAATAATGTTAGTGGAATTAATATTTACATTTTATATCTAACATCATTCAAGTAGATAAGTTGTATGGTTAAGGATTTGAAATCATGGTGTCTAGCTGTGCAGCACATGTTCTTGAGCACATGTTCTTAAACACAGTGCTTTACTACTTCCTGGGTAGTAAAAATGCATGTGTTGTTTTCATTTCATTATTATAAGAATGGTCATCCTTTGTAAAATGAAAGCGACAGCATGAAAAAAAAATCAGTCAATCTAACTAATGGATAATTAATCTATGTGTAAATTAAACAGCCTATGGGAAAATACAAAGGGTAATTTGGATACATGAGAAACAGAAGCACAGACATTCTGTATTTCAAATAATTCTAATTTGATTAAATGAAGTCTTATAGCCAGGTGAAATTTTTATTACACATAACCTTATGAGGTGGTATTTTCAAATTTAAGGCAAAAGATAAAGTTTCTTAGATAGATTTTTCAAAGCATACTTTTGTTCACACTTCTTGTATCCTGAAGCATCTGCACCACAGTTGCCAGATCTATCAGCGATAGAATTAAGGTATTTATAACATTCAGGAGGACCCCCAGATAAACCTGAAAAGGTAAAGTATGGTTAGTAACATTGAATTTATATTGATTTTTTAAAAATGAACAAATGAATTTAGCATTTTAAAATAGTTTACAATGTATATTGCACAAAATAATGTTATACTATAAATTGAAAATAAAAGTTAGGTTTAAGATCACACAAAACTACTTCAATGAAGTATTTTGAAGTTAAAAGCATTCTTATTATTCAAATACCTTAGATATAAACACTGCATTCAGTTTATTTTTTTATTTTTAGTAAATTTAGAAATACATGTCTGTTAGAAGTCTAAAGAATATCTTATTAGTCAATAATTTCTGTTTACATAAATATATTTTCAAGTCAAACCAGTCAACTTATATCTTTGGTTTTTATCATTATTTCTTCAGACCAATTAGAATTAATTACCAAAAAGTATTGGAGCCACAATTAACTAAATTAGGAAAGAAACATGATTTAAAATCAATAACCTAGCATTCCATCTTAATATAAGGCAAAAAATTTAAACATAAAGCAAACAGAAGGAAATAAATAATAAATATTATAGCAGAAATAATGAAACAGAGAATAGACAAATGATAGAAAAAAATCAATAAAACAAATAGTTTATTTGAAAAAATCAACCACATTGAAAAATTTTAATTATTAACAGAAAATTTCCCACAAAAAATGTCTGAGTACAAACATTTTCACTAGTGAATTCCATAAAATTTTCAAACAACTAATAGAGTGCATCAAGGCTCTTCCAAAAATTATAGATAGGAAATAACTTCAATGAATCATTCAATGAGACTTGATAGTAAAACAACTCAAAGATATTTCAAGAAAAATTTGAGAATATTCCTCATGAATGTAAACATAAAAATCCTCAAGAAATCTACAGACTAATAACCCTCATGAATATGAATTTTAAAAAGACAACAAAATACTTATAAACTGAATTAGAGAGCATATTAAAAACATTATAAATACCAAGTGGGATTTATTTCTGAAACGCAAGGATGGTTCAAAATACAAAAATAAATATGTCAATTAGTCATGTAACAAAATAGGAGAATGAAAGAGAAAAAAACCACCACATAATCATGTTATTTGATGCAAAAAATAGCATTTGACAAAATTTGTACCCTTTAATTATAAAAAAAAAATATTTTGGAAGTAGGAGGAGAGTACTTAATATATATAATAAAGGCCATTTATAAATAAATAAATAAATAAATAAATAAATAAATAAATAAACACACAGTTGAAATAATAGTCAATGGTGAATGACTGAAAGTTTTTCCTCTATGATAAGGAACAAGAAAAGTATATCAGCTTTCATCCTTCTATTCATCACAGTAATAGAAGGCCTGATTGTTAGGCCAACAGCAACTAAAAGAAACAATATACATCTAAACTGGAATAAAATAAGTAAAAGTATGTGTTCATAGATGTGATATATATATCCTCAAAGTTACACACAGACAAACACACACACACACACCTGTTAGAATTAATTACTTCAGCTTAGTTTTAGGATACAAAATTAACACATAAATATCAGTTGCATTTTACCTCTATATATTAGCAATGAAAAATCCCCAAAGGAAGACAAATAATTCAATTAAAAAACAAGCAAAGGAACTAGACATTTCTCCAAAGAGGACATATAGATGGTCAAGAGACATATGAAAAAATGCTTAAGATCATCAGAGACAAGCAAATTAAAATCACCTCATGCCTGTCAGAATGGCTATCTTTCACATATCAATAAACAAAAAGTGTTGGGGAGTATGAGAAGAAAAGGGAACCCCTGTGCACTGTTGATGGGAATGCAAACTGATGAAGCCATTGTGGAAAAAAGTATGGAGCTTCTTTTAAAAATTAAAAAAATGGAACTGCTTTTTTACCCAGTGATCTCACTTCTGGGAAATGTATCTTAAGAAACCCAAAACTCTAATTCAAAAGACTGTATGAAACTCTGTGTTCATCGTAGTGGTATTTACAATAGCCAAGATCTGAAAATAGCCTAAGTCCACTTCAGTAAATGAGTGGATGAAAAGTGGTATGTTTACAAAATGGAATACCACTCAGCTGTAAAATAATTAAAAATAGGAAATCTTACCTTTTGCAATGGCATGAATGGACATGCAGATTAATTATGGTAAGTGAAAAAAGCCAGTCAGAAAATGACAATAAATACCGTATGATCTGCTTATATGTGGAATCTAGGGAACACAATAACAAACAAAATAGAAACAGATTCTTGGATACCAAGAACAGACTGACAACTGTCAGAGGGAAGGTGGGTTAGGGATGAAACAAGGTGAAGGGATTAAGAAAAAAAAACACACAAACATATATTATAGTATAGGGAAGGCCTAGGAGGAGAGGGTGCAGAATGGATGGAGTCAATGGGGGAAAACGTGGGACATTTGCAAAACTTTCAAAAATAAAAATAAGTAAATAAAAAATTCTATCTGGTGATGGCCAGGGGGAAAGAGGTAGGTAGAGGTGGGCAGAAGGAGGTTAGACATGAAAAGAGCATTTGGTTTAGACAGTGGGTGCATAATGCAGTGTATCGAGTTGTACTCTTGAAACCTGTATAGTTTTTTATAAAGCCTGTATAGTTTTGTGAATCAATGTCACTATAATAAATTTAATTAAAAGTCTACTTAAAAGATGTTTTTTAAAGTTGTGACACTAAATGTAGTTATAATGATTTGACTTTGGTTTATGAACACACAATGCAATATACAAATCATGCATCATGAAAATGTATACTTAAATCCTTATTAACCAATTGTACCCTAATAAATTTCATTAAAAATAAAATAAAATTTTTAAAATATGTTATTAATGTTAAATTGTATATGTGTCAAACATATAAGCACATTCCTTCCCCTCAGATTCTTCAAGTCTTAGGCAACCATTAATCTACTTTCTGTATTTATACATTTGCCTATTATGCATATTAATATAAATGAAATCACAATTTGTGGTCCTTTGTGACTGGCTTCATTAGCTTGCCATATATTTTCAAAATTTATCTATTTTTAACAAATATCAGCACTTTGTTAGATTAATATTTTATTGCGTAGTAATATTCCACATTTGCTTTACTCGTTCATCAGTTGATGGACATTTGAGTTATTTCTACATTTTGATTATTATAATGGTGCAATGAATATTTGTATACAAGGTTTTATGGGAACATGTATATTCAATTCTCTTAGGTATATAACAGAAATCAAATAGCTCTGCTTAATATTTTAAGGCAATGCCAAACTATTTTCTAATGCTGCTATACCATTTTTATATTCCTACCAGCAATGCATAAAAGTTCTGATTGTGCAAATCAAAACTACAATAAGATATCACCACAAATCTGTTAGAATAGCTATTATCAACAAGACAGACAAAGTGTTGGAGAGATGGTGAGGAAAAATGGAGCTCTCATTCACTGCTGGTGTGGATGTAAACTGGTACAACCATTAATGAAAACAGTATGGTGGTTTCCCAAAACACTGAAAATAGAGTTACTATACAACTCAACAATCCCTCTTCTGGGTACCTACCAAATGATAAAAACATTAATTCACTAAGCTATGTGCATCCCTATGTTCATTGTGGCATTATTCACAGTCGCCAAGACATGGAGACATTCGAGGTGTCCTGCGATAGAGGATTAGATAAAGAAAATGTGGTACATATATACTGCTATTACTCAGTATAAGTAATTATAAGAAGAGACAAAATACTACTGTCATTTGTGACAACATGGATGTACCTTGAGACTGTTATGTTAAGTGCAACAAGTCAATCAGAAAAAGCTAAGAATTGTATGATTTCACCCATATGAGTAATATAAAACTGAAACTCATGGACATAAACACCAGTGTGGTAGTTGCCAGAGTAAAAGGGGTCCTAATATATAATGACAGGAGAAGATTTGACTTTTTGGATGTTAGGCACACAGTGCAATATATAAATTTTATAACATAGAAATCCACACCTAAAACCTGTATAATCATATTAACCAATGTCATCCCAATAAATTTAATTAAAAATTACATTTAAAAAATATATATCAACACCTATTTTTTTTCAGTTTTCATAAAAATGCATATACAGGAAGTAAAAATATAACAAATACCTTGACCAAATGATTCTAAACATTGTGCTGACAGACTCTTACACTGTCCCCCTAAGCAGAGCCATTTATCATCTTCACATGGATGACCATCCTGAACATAAAGGTCCTCTTGACATTCTCCAGATGATCCATTGCAATATTCAGTGAGATCACATTCATATAAGGGATTCCTACATATAGTTCCTTTTGGTGAAAACTGATGGTGTGAAGTAAATTGTAGTGAATAGAGCAGAATGTAAACATATAGATATTATAAAGAATGATAACTTTACTTATATAGGTAATACCAAAAATTTAAGAAAACTCTTACTTTGCACCTGTCACAGCATGGTCCCATTAAACATTCGGCATCGGTTTTTAGTTGACATGTGGTACTTTCACAGCAATTTTCTTGGATTGCATTACACTCCTGAAAGGCAAAACAAAAGCTCTTAAATATCTTTCAACTTTCATTTACATTGGATGCATATTTTAATGATGTAAACATCATATAATACTAGTATATATTATATATACTATAGACAGATGCTTAACATACATGTTGGCAAACAAACAAACAAAAAATAAACCCACTTATTTACTCACTAGAGGCCTAGTGCATGAAATTCGTGCATGGGGGTGTGTGTTCATCAGCCCAGCCTACACCCTCTCCAATCTGGGACATCCCTCTCACAATCCAGGACTGCTGGTTCCCAACTGCTCACCTGCCTGCCTTCCTGATTGCCCACTTTTGCCTGCCAGCTTGATCACCCCCTAACCACTCCCATGCCAGCCTGATTGATGTCTAACTGCTCCCCTGCCAGCCTGTTTGCCCCTAACAGCCCTCCCCTGCATGCCTGGGTCGCCCCCAACTTTCCTTCCCTGCAGGCCTGGTCACCCCCAACTGTCTTCCTCTGCTGGCCTGATCGCCCACAACTGCCCTCCCTTGCAGGCCTTGTCCCTCCCAACTTCCCTCCCTGCTGACCATCTTGTGGTGGCCATCTTGTGTCCACAGGGGTGCAGCCATCTTTGACAACATCGGGGCAGCCAACTTGTGTGTTGGAGTGATGGCCAACTTGCATATTACTCTTTTATTAGATGGGATGCTTGTTAATAGAATTAATTAGTTATCTACAATGTGCTAGACTGTGTGTGTTTTTCTATCCGTAGAGTAGGTTTGACTATATTGGTAGTAGGGTTTTCTGAAATCCTGGAGGCTACCAAAGTCAGCCTTCAGGAGCTCTCTGGCTCTTATAGAAAGAAATTGTTAAATTCAAGACATGAAATGAAAGTTATAACTTAATTTCCTTATGATTAGTTCTTACTCATTCTTTATGAATCTAATGTATTATAATAAGTTGATAACTTTTATGAGCTATTCATAATTTATTTTACTTTGAATTCTCTAAATATGAAGACCTAGAAAATGATGTTTTTTAACATGACAAATTATCAACTTTATATCACTCATTCATATTTCATGATGCCTTCTATTTTATGCTATAATTCATCCATGCCCAGTGATTCTGTTGTGTTTTTTTTTATCCTTCAAACTTATAGTGACCTTTATTGTTTTTGTTGTTGTTGAAAATATTATAGTTGTCCCCCATTTACCTCTCCTTCCACCCACTTCATCCAAATCCTCCTTACCTTCCCTGTTGCCCTAACCATGTTGTTGTCTATGTCCATGGCTATGCTTTTATATTTTTTAGGGAATTTATTACCATGATTCTGTGTTTTTATTCATTTATTATTAGGTTTAATAAAATCAGTATATAAAAAAGTAGGAAGCTGAAGAGATGATACATTCATACACACACACAATTTTTAAAATTCCCAAGGATTTTAAAAAATGATAAAATGATTGATTGGGCCAAAAACTTCAGTAAGTTACAAAAAATAAATCATAGATTTCAGTGATCTTAACATGACTCATAGTATGATACTTAGTAGGGCACATTAATTTGCAGTGTTTTCCAGAACTATTCTGCCTAATCTGTATCATTGCTATTACTATGTACATGGGATTCTGGTGAGTTAAGCTATACAACAGGATTTTTTTTATATTTAAGAAATCCAAAAGATACTGCTGTTAATTTTTATTTAAAAATGTCAAGGTGTTTTCTTTTATATCCAAACAAGGAAAAACAGGTGGCTGCTGTGGAATAATTTCTTAAAAACATATCCTAAACCAGTTATCTAAAAACACTTTTTTCATACTGAGTTTAGTACACATGAATGACCTTAGCTATTATGGTATGGAACATTGAATTCCATTTAGATTTTCTTGACTCTCTCATGCCCATACCACTCACTCACTGTGAGTCTCACAATTTCTCTCTCCCTTATTGCATTCCTTTTTTTTATTATTATTATTCTCTTACCACCTCCCTCTGATACAGCAGCTTTTTGTAAAATTTCTATGAGTATGAAAACCAGCTTTTATGGATTATGTATGGTCCAAATCTTTTTAAGTTGAATATTGATCTGGATTAAAATACTCAAAGCCAGAAATATGCCTCCTATGTTTTCTTTCTCAAACTTTTATATCTTTCTGAATGGCAGATTTTAGGTTCAGAAAAAATACAAGAAAAATACACAAGAGGGGCAGTTTAAACTTGAGTCAACTCAACTATAGGATTAATGACATTGAAAATCACTCATACAGGTAGTATAAAAACACTAAATCTGTACATGAATACATAAGTGCCTTCATTAGTTTATTAAAAGCCCTTTATGCTTTCTTAAGGATTTTGCAGAAAAGTGAGTGCAATAAATTATGAGAAGTAACAGTGTAACACTATAAAATTAAATATTTGTATGCAATTTTGGTATGCATGCTTTCAAATTAATACCTACATCTGCAGTCCCACAGTCACATGCTTCTGATTCTTCCACTTGTTTATCACCACAAACTGCAGCTTTATATGATGGATCTAAACGTGGATGATTTCGAAGACACTGGGATTTGGGCTTTGAAATAAAATGTATAAAATCTTCCATGCTGCAGTTACTAAAGATCTTCACACCACTGGAATGACTAAAAATACATTAAACTTCAAATTTTTATACAAGCATTTTATCAATCAACTGCCTATCCTGGGAATAAAGCTATTTAACATTCCACCACAGAAAGAAATACTCAATTTTGTTAGTGTCAACTATGCAAAAATGAACAGTAAATATTTTTAGTAGGAATAAATAATCAATAAAATTTTGTTGGATCTTACATTAGTTATTTATGACACCATTTTCTCTTGCTTCTCCTATCTAACAGAGTGATCCATCTCTTTCATTTTTGCTTCCTTTTCTTTTCTTGACTTCTAAATATTGTAATACCCTTTTATTGACAAAAGAGATTGGGCTTCTCCACTTCTTCATATTTATTCATAGATAATCTTTTCAGTTCTAGGTTTTAAATAACCCTGGAACCTAACTACTCAGATATTTGTTTTCCTATCTCCAACTAACCACCTAAACTCCAGAGTCCCATACCCAATTCCTTATTCAGTATTCACACAGAGATACCTTTCTAAGCACACATCTAGCATACCACCCCTTGCTACTCTTTGATCCCTTAGTGACATTGATTTTTCTTCAAAATATTTATTAAAAAAACAAGAATATTAATTATTTATTGATTGATTACCTTGTCCTACTAGCTTTTTACCTCTAGATAAAAGGCATTTTCTTTTTTTAAAATATATTTATATTGATTTTAGATAGAGGAAGGTATAGGATAGAGAGGTAGAAACCTCTAAAAGAGAGACACATAATCAATAGGCTGCCTCCTGCACGCCCCATACTGGGGATCCAGCCTGTAACCCAGGCTTGTGCCTTGACCAGGAATTAAACCAAGACCTGGTTCATGGGCTGATACTCAACTACTCAGTTATGCTGGCCAGGTGGGAAAATACATTTTCAATTTTTTTGTTTACTAGCACAAAACTAAGAGCTCAATATTCACTAAAAGAAGAAGAAGAAGAAGAAGAAGAAGAAGAAGAAGAAGAAGAAGAAGAAGAAGAAGAAGAAGAAGAAGAAGAAGAAGAAGAAGAAGAGAAGAAAAAAATGAAATGAATGAGTGCATGGTTAAAACTGTTGTATAGTAGATTTATTTTGGGTTGCAGTTTCACTATAATTTTAATTATTTTGAAAATATTAACAAGTAAAAATATTATAATCATGGAGGTCTATAATTTGATGACAAATATAGATAATATGAAGTTATTGGTTTTTAGAGCCATAGACTCAAACCCTAGTCATTCAGATTATTATAGGAACATGCTATTTCCATGAGGATTACAAATTAAGGAGTTTCGAACAAGCTACCAGTTTTGATATTTTTTGTTATTGTCACATTCTGTTTGTACATGCCCTTCAGTTATACTAACCATAATGAATGAATTTATTATTGCATTTCCAAGAATTCAGATGAATTTTATCTAAGTACCAGAAACCAAAAGGAGAGAAAGCAATAGAAATTTAATATTACCAAGAATCGGGAAAGGCAAGGTGTGTTTGCTATGTGTGAACTGGTCCATAGGGGATATATTTTTTGGTGAATTAATTTTCATTAGAAAGAAAATATCAATAATAATTATATAGAATTGGATAATTTCTCTTCAACTTGAATCTTTGAACAGATTTTCTGGATATTCCTATTCCCTATTATCTCATATTTTCTTTATAATAGAACCTCTGATATTCAGTTAAGTATATAACTCCCTTGCATGAATGACTTCATTTTTTAGCTTCTTGAAAAGTTAGGAGCGAGCTGATATAAAGGTTAAGTAATTCGTTTAAAGTGAAGCTATAAGTTTAACTTTTAGGAAGTAATGATGATAAGCATGCTTCTAGGTGACCCTTTATTCTTTTGGTGACTATAAACTTAGTTAATTTAATGCTGTAGTTAAAGCTTCATGAGTTATGACACTATCTTGGAAATGAAAGCCACTATGCAGAAATCAGTGTGAAATGTCACACACATTTAAGCATGTTTTTATTCCAACTAACATACTAAGAGGACATGTTCTTAAAACAAGACAGCTTTTTTTTTTTCTCTAGCAGCCAATTTTAGGGAATCCCCATTTGACCATTTGTGTGAAATGATTGACAAATATTGTTGCAATAGATGGATGTGCCATGGGGATTTACCTAGAATCCCTTTTTGTGTTATTTACTTGCACTATCTTGATTTTTTTTTTAGCTTGTTCCAAAATACTCTTTTTGGTCATCAGGTAGTTCCATATGCCCACTTGATATTATAATTCTGTGGATCTGAATAAATACAAATTATGATGAAAATATTCAACTTCAGTAACATAATAACTTAGTGTTTTCTACATGCATGCTAAACTCTACAAGGGTCCAGTGGCCCTCCAGGAGTTGAAATAGTACTCTGGGGGTCTGTACTACAAATATTTGATACTTGTCAAGAGATTCCACATAAAAACCTTAATCTGCCAGGACTATCTTTAGTTTTTATTGTACCTTAATGAACATACATTCCAAAGAATAAGACAATGCCCTCTCTGTACATCATCTCCTGCCAAAAGTATCCTTGTTGCCATAAGATCACTTATTAATCCAGTTCAACAATCATTTCATAATAGTTTACTATAGCCACTTAGGGGATAATTATTCTTATATGGGTTCCTCCCAAATCAGAGCCTGAGATAAAAACTTGAATGAAGTACCTCTAGGAAATGATTGTGGAAGCATGAGTGAGGGAATGGAGAAAGTGAGGTATTATCAAGTTTGTTTCTGTAAGACATCTGAAAAGCAGAAAATGCCTCCAAAATTGCCCATCAGAAAAATAAGAGGCTGGCTCTAGTCACGAACTGGATAATGGATTCTCTAATCCCTGATTGTTTGCTCCTAATTTTATAAAATCTCAGGGTATACTCTAAGAATAATGATGGTAATTGCAACTTCTCTGTTTTAAGGAGTAAAGATGGTACTGCAAAAGGCCTCCTTTGATAACAAAGAAAAAGCTGCATAACAGCATCTGTGAAATCAATAGATACCAACTTCAGTCTGAGCCAGGGAAGAATGAAGAAGATTTATGCAGACAAAACCATATTAATCAATCATTCCTGTACAGTGATCACAAGCCAGTATTCGCCTTATCTGCTCAGGCTTAAATGATAAAATCATGCAAGTAAACATAGTGATAAATGCAGGGGTTAGCTTATATATGACAAAGCAAGTGTGATATTAGATTGAAAAATTTTGAGATAGATATTTGGGACTTGGATTATGCATTTTGATCTGGAAATCATGGGATACAGCTTACATTTGACCATTTAAAATTATTTCAACAGCTTAGACTTTAAATACACCAAACTTATTTTTATATGTGTAAAGCATATACAAAAAAAGCATCTTACATTGCTTCTGGGTTCATTATGCAGACAACTCCTGAACACTGGCATTTATCAATGTCATCATAAGCTATTCCCATGCTAAGGCTCAGTAATTGAGCTATAATGACTGCAAGTGATTCCAGACTTAAGGCTTTGGGATGCTGAAAAAAACACACAAGTGCACACTGATATTTTAGAAGATAATTCATTTACTGGAAGAATAATGTAATTATTAAAAATAGTGACATGACAAAATGGAATAGAGGCTTCTAATATGTAACCACAGAAGTGCAATCTATGTTGACTCATTTGTTACAGGTACCATTATGAATATGAAAAGAACATAATAATGAAATCTGAAATTTTACCCAAAATTAAATATATAGTTCATTGATGGCACCAAAACAAAATAAAAAACTGCTCTAGTAATGTAATTATATATAATAATAATTATAGCCATATTTATACTAACAAAAAAGATTTAAAGATATACACATATACATACTGTCAAATTATTAACAGATTGTGCTAATTTATAATTTGATTATTTAGAGATAATATTTTACATCAATGTTTCATAAAAAATAATAAATTAACCCATTAAATTACTTTATATTATGGTAATAATGATTGATAATGAGAATGCTGACTTTCCTTCTGGGTACATTATGCAGACAGCTCCTGAGCACTGGCAATTGTCAATGTCATGATAAGCTATTCCCATACTAAGACTATTTTCAAAACCAAAATGCCTTTATCATTTTTTTTGTAAATGTAAGATGCTTATATAGAACATTTTGATCATACTAGAACATATGAAGTTTAAGAAAAATCCACACATCACATGAGGTCTTCAAATATATCTAATAACACTTTTGTGAATATACTTCAAGGTAGGTTTACAGGAATACATTTTGGTATATTCTGTTTGCTTCTCTAAATCAATTTTCCATCATTTTCCATTTTGCTCTCTAGTCAAGGATGGCACCAAAGGATAATATCAAAAGGTTCTTTTCCCCTTGCTTTACTTTGGATTAATGGGGAGGTCAGGGTAAGAAAATTTTATTAGCCTTATTGTCCAGGAGGTCTCTGCTTTATGTTTATGACCCTAGGAGAATGTCTCTGTCCTTTCCTTCTCATTTGGGTAACAAATTAAATATATTTATTACTAGCCCTGAGACACTGCAAAGTCCCTACACCTTGCATGCACATTGATAAATGGCCCCTTTATCAAATTACCACAGTTGAACATACCATCCATTTTTATTTATTTTTATTTTTTAAAAATATATTTTATTGCCGAAACCGGTTTGGCTCAATGGATATAGCGTCGGCTTGGGGACTGAAGGGTCCCGGGTTCGATTCTGATCAAGGGCATGTACCTTGGTTGCAGGCATATCCCCAGTAGGGGGTGTGCAAGAGGCAGCTGATCGATGACTCTCTCTCATCGATGATTCTAACTCTCTATCTCTCTCCCTTCCTCTCGGTACAAAATCAATAAAATATATATATTTTAAAATGTGTATATATATATATATATATATATATATATATATATATATATTATTGATTTTTTAAAGAGAGAAAGGGAGAGAACAGAGAGTTAGAAACATCAATGAGAGAGAGACATCGATCAGCCACCTCCTGCACACCCCCCACCGGCCATGTTCTCGCAACTAAGGTACATGCCCTTGACCGGAATTGAACCTGGGACCCTTCAGTCCACAGGCCGATGCTCTATTCATTGAGCCAAACCGGTTTTGGCATGTACCATCCATTTTTAAATAGAGGAAGAGTAAGAAGATAAATGAAGAGGAGGAGGAAGAGGAGAAGAAAGAGGGTAGAAGCTGGGAAGAGTGAAAGGGGAAAGGAAGAAGAGGGAGTGTATTTTATTCTATGGAAAAGAAAATGAAGGATTCTGCTAAATTTTAATAATGTAAATAATAGGATATTATAAATAATAATATAATGAATAATGAGGTATATATTATTATTATAGTTATTTAAGATTTTTTGTTTTGTGTGCAGGATATTACAGAAAAGGTGTGGCAACCATTCAATCAATGTAGCTTTATAATTGTTTCTCTTTCTCTATGACTCCTATTCCTTGCTATGTTTTATAACTCAGTAAGATGAAAACATCCAAAAAGTTTCACTTTAGTAATTTGTATAAAAGTCATCCCCTACACTCCCATGTGCAATTGCTCTTTTATTCTCTATCTTCTTACTAGTTCATTTATTCTTATCTTTCATTTTAATATGAGACTAGAAGTCCAGTGGGCAAAATTTGTGCATGAGATTTGGGGATCCCTCAGCTCAACCTACACCCTCTTGCAATCTGGGACCCTCGGGGAATGTCTGACTACCAGTTAGGCCCAATCCACAGGGATCTCTGAGGGATTGGGCCAAAACTGGTAGTCGGACATCCCTCTTGCAATCAGGGTCTCCTGGCTCCTAACTGCTCACCTGCCTGCCTGATCACCCCTAACCACTGGCCTGCCTACCTGATCGCCCTTAACTACTTGACTGTTTGCCTGATGGTCCCTAATCACTTTTGCCTTGGAACTCAACATGGTGGGTTCAACGGGAAAGTTGTTTGGCTGTCCAGTCTAATTAGCATATTAAGCTTTTATTATTATAGATAAGGTCAAATATATGGTTTATGTTGGAGATAACATTCCCTTGCATTCTCTTTGTGGCAATCTAGCATAGGGCTTCTATTACTCAGATAGGGCTGTCATTACAAAATACCACAGATGGGTTGGTTTAAATAATAGAAATTTATTTTCTCACATTTCTGGAGAGCAAAAGTGCAGGTCAAGTTGCCAAAAGGGTTGCTTTCTGGTAAGGCCTTTCTCCCTAGGTTGTAGAAGGCTGTCTTTTCAGTGTTTTCACATGGCCCTCTTTAGTATATGCACAGAGATAGATATCTCTGCTGTCTTTCCTTTTTTTATAAGGACACCAGTCCCATTGGATGAGAGGCATACTCTTATAACCTCCTTTAATCTTAATTACCTCTGTAAAGGCCCAATTTCCAATATATAGTCACATTGAGGATTAGGGTTGCAGTAAATGAATTTTAGGAGTACACAATTTAGTCCAAAATAGACTAGTAGCAAAAACTTTAAAAAGCATAAACTGAAGTATAAGAATTTCCTATGGGATATTGTTTTGGTTACTTTTGTTTCTAACATAAAATAATGGAAAACTAAAATTATATTTAGCATTGGCATTTTAAAATATTTTGTATAAAAGCTATAAGTAAGCAGACAAGTTTCTTTTGTTGAATCTGCTTACTATAATAGCAGCAGCTGGGATTTATTAAGGACTTCTTATGTGCCAATCACTAGTACTCCTATGTTGTACATGTGATTACTTTCTATAAATATGCTTGTCTGTTTGTTTTCTAAAAACTTCTAGACTCTAATATTAGAAATTAGGATTCTATATATGCCTTTTAGATAAAGTTCATTATATTGTTCAAACTTTCTAAATTTTTGATCTGATAAATTATCCAAGTATGATTATTTCTGTTAGTAGCTCTTTCAGTGTTTGCTTTGTGCATCTTAGTTTGGTACATATGAGTTCATGTTTATTATATATGCTAGTAAAATTTTATTTCATTCTAAATAATAAATCACCTAAAAGTCATATCTATTTTACCTGAAGAACATTTTGCTGCTTCATACTATGATACATCAAATTTCCTTTGGTTATATACTTGCTTCTTTTTTCTTTCTCTTTAGAGTTAAAATTTCTGTGGCATTATATATGGGTGTTAAACATATGCATATACCTATATGTATGTATAGAATATTTATTTACTCAAATATACAGATCTTATATATAATTTATTTATAATAGTATATGTACATAAATATATACACACATATTTGAGAAGTGTGTGTGTGACAAATATCTACATAACTATTGCACTGTACAAAATATGGGATATTTTTTATCACCTAGGAAGGTCTCTTCAGCAAGTTTCCAGGCATTACCTCACCACAATTTGTAACTTCTATTCTGACTTTTATTAAAAATGGTGTCTTTTTACCTACGCATTAAAATGGGATAATAAAGTAAATATTATTTTGCTTCTGGTTTACTTCATTCAACTGGTTTTGAGACCCATCAATGTTGCGTGTGTAACAATAGTTTATTTTTATTGCTTACATTATATGAATATACCACACATATTTATCCATCTCATGGATAGGAGGACTCAGTCAATGTCCCTCAAATTGGCCTAAAAATTCAGTTCAAAATTAATCAGATTCCAAGCAGTGTTTGCTGAAATTGACAAACTGATTTTAAAATGGAAATGCGGAGAATTCAGAATACCCAAATCTGTCTAAAGAAGTAGTAGCAGGGTTTACACTACCATGTTTGATGAGTTACTATGAAGCTGTAGCTATTAAGACAATGTGTTGTTGGCTGAAAGACAGAAAAACAACAACCCGCCAACGATGATAAAAGAGTCCAGAAACAGACTACAACTATGATGTCCTATTTTAATGTCAGAGGAACCACTAGGGATTAGGTTGGGAGAGTGGTAAGTGTTTAACATCAGAGCATTGATTGTTTGCTTCAATATCTCACTTCAGTAAATATCAATGGCTGCTGATGTGGGAACCCTTAACACACCCCGAGTGATTAGGGCCCACTCAGGGTCCAGTTTCTGGAGGAGGATAAAATGAAGCAGAATAGAAAAAGAGTTAATTTGGGACAAATGGGGGGCCAGGCGGGAGTCAACCTCTAGTGGGAAGACTCTCTAGGCTCTGGCCTTGCTATCCTTTTTATTGAGGCTGCTCTGGGATACACCCATTACCCTTAAGCAGCTTTGGGAAACACCCATAGCCCTTAGGCAGGTAATAAGCGGATTATCATATCGGTAAGGACTTACAGGATTACAAGATGGGAGGTTGCCTCAGTTACTATTGTCTCAATTAGATAGGGTGTGGTTGGCTCTGACCTTTGAGAGCTTCAAGGTTGACCAGCCTCTTTCTATTAGTGAGACAATGATTGGTTTCTGGCATGCTGATTTTTCCAACTAAAGGTCATGAAATGATTATCCAATGAAATGTGGAGACTAAGAAAGAAGAATACTAGGAAGCTCTTCTCTGAATGTTCCTTTCACTATAGAAACCACTGTCCTCTGCTCATGAAACACACACCTTCTGATAAATGATGGCACTATTTTACTCGTGGGGGCTAACCTTCCTTTAGAGAGAATGAGTTCTGGTTTTGTTATCAATGAAAGTCCTGCCTCACATGTGAGTCTTATATTTCAGTGTTGTGATGCATAAATCAGCCAAATTCCAGTTTTTGAGACTAGGTAATGGCTTACCAATAAATATAAGTCACAATTTTCAAACTATCCTATGTAAATTTAAAGGTTGATATTTGTGTCTTCATTTGATTGATTCATCTTTTCATATTTTTACTTAGCTTTACATGTTCACTGAAATAAGAGTGTTATGAATTGCATTCCTCAAATTCTAGTACATTGTACAAACACACACAAAATAAAAAAGTAAATTCCACATGTCAAAATAATTATAGCATTATGAAAAAGGAGCAAAAATATACTAATTTTCAATATACCAAGAATTTCTAGAGTGGAGAATACAAGATGGCTGCCCAGGTAAACACCTAGCCACAGCCACACACAACAATTTCAATAAAATACAACTAAAATATAAAATGGACATTATCCAGAACTACAGGAAAGTTGACTGACTGGAAATTCTACAACGAGAAGCAAGGAGAAAACCAGAAGGAAGCGCGGAGGAGCTGTAAAAGCCTAAGGTATGGAGACACACGGTGCGCGGAGAGGACAGAGCAGGAGAGGAGGGTGGCTGAATGCCTGGCTGGCGTTCCCTAGCAGAAGGAGATAAAAGCTCTGACTGTGTTGGGCCCCAGTTCTGACTGCTCTGAACCCCAGTTCTAGGCCAGACCCCGGGGACCCAGGCTCATCCATAGGGAGCTGGGCTGTAAGGCAGAACCCCGGGGAAGCAGCAAAAGGAGTTCCTGGCTAGAGAAGGGACGGTTGGCTGTGCCGCGTAATTGCCTTGGCAGGAAGGAGACAGGGGCTCCAGACTGCTCTGAACGCCACCTCCAACTCCACTTCCAACTGAACTGAACCCCAATACCGGGCTCATTGGGGGAAAGCCTAGACTGTTTGGTAGCAGGCGAAAATCGAGGGCACCTTTCTCTCAGAGGGGCTTGCAGCAAGTACTGAAGGACCCTGGGGATTACTGAGACTCAGGAATCGCATAACGTGGAGCTGACGGAAGCCAAGGCTGTAGGCTCTACCCTGAAACTCCGCCCCATCTGTAGCTGCAAAATGCAACAATGAAATAGATCACAAACGAAAGAAATGGAGGACAAAAAGAGACTGGATATAGAGTTCAAATCTATGCTTATAAGGTTTTTCAAGAATTTCCTAGAAAAGATGGATAAGACCTATGAGGATATGAAAAGAGATCAACTAGAATTAATAAGGAGTCAACAAGAAATGATAAGGGATCAACAAGAAATAAAGAATACATTGTCTGAAATAAAAAAATATTATACAGAGTCCTAAAAACAGAATGGAAGATAGCAAGAATCAAGTCAAAGATCTGGAGCATAAAGAGCCAGAAGACACCCCTCCACAGAAGCTAGAAGGCAAGAGAATCCAGAAAGTTGAAGATAATATAAGAAATCTCTGGGACAACTTCAAGCGAACCAACATCAGACTTATGGGGGTCCCAGAAGATGAGAGAGAGTAAGATATTGAAAACATACTGAAAGAAATAGTAACAGAAAACTTCCCCCACCTGGTGAAAGAATTAGACTTACAAGTCCAGGAAGCTCACAGAACTCCAAACAAAAGGAATCCCAAGAGGACTACACCAAGACAAATCATAATTAAAATTCCAAGAGCAAAAGACAAAGAGAGAATATTAAAAGCAGCAAGAGAAAAGCAGGTAGTTACCTATAAAGGAGCACCTATACGATTGTCAACTGATTTCTCAACAGAAACCATGCAGGCCAGAAGGGAATGGCAAGAAATATTCAAGGTGATGAATAGTAAGAACCTACAGCCAAAGATAATCTATCCAGCAAAGCTATCATTCAGAATCGAAGGTCAGATAAAGAGCTTCACTAATAAAAAAAAGCTAAAGGAGTTCATCAACACCAAACCAGAATTATATGAATTGCTGAAGGGGGTTCTTTCAGAAGAGAAAGTAAATAAAGATAAAAATTATGAACAACAAATACGTAACTATCAACAAGTGAATCTAAAAACCAAGGAAATTAAAGAAAAAATCTGATGAACAATAGTAACTGTTGAATATAATAGAATCAGAGGTATGGAAGGGGAGTGAACTGACGATTCTTGGGGAAAAGGGGAGAGGAGGATGTGGGAAGAGACTGAACATAAACTGTGCACCTATGGATGAGGACAATGGATAGTGGGGAAAGGGCAGAGGGTGGGGTCGGAACCTGGTGCAGGAGAGCAATGGTGGGAGTGGGGGGGGAGGAACATTTGTAATAATATGAACAATAAAAATTTATTTAAAAAAAAAAGAATCAAGTAAAAAAATTTTAATACAAAGAAACATAAAACACTCAACCAGAAAAGCAAAAAGAAAAAAGAATTTAAAAAGTTGAAGATAGCGTAAGGAGCCTCTGGGACAACTTCAAGTGTACCAACATCCAAATTATGGGGATGCCAGAAGAAGAAAGAGTACAAGATAGTACTGAAAACCTATTTGAAGAAATAATGATAGAAGACTTCCCCTACCTGGTGAAAGAAAGACTTACAAGTCCAGGAAATGCAGAGAACCCCAAACAAAAGGAATCCAAAGAGGACCACACCAAGACACATCATAATAAAAATGCCAAGAGCAAAAGACAAAAAGAGAATATTAAAAGCAGCAAAAGAAAAACAGTTACCTACAAGGGAGCACCCCTATGATTGTCAGCTGATTTCTCAACAGAAACTCTGCAGGCCAGACATGAGTGACAAGAAATATTCAAAGTGATGAATAGCAAGAACCTATAACCAAGATTACTCTACCCAGCAAAGTTCTCATTCAGAATTGAATGTCAGATAAGAAAAAGCTAAAGGACTTCATCACCGCCAAACCAGTATTATATGAAATGCTGAAAGGTATTCTTTAAGAAGAGGAAGAAGAAAAAGATAAAGATAAAAATTATGAGCAAGAAATACATATCTATCAACAAGTGAATCTAAAAATCAAGTGAATAAAAAATCTGATAAACAGAATAAACTGGTGAATATAATAGAATCAGGGGCATAGAAAGGGAATGAACTGACAATTCTTGGGGGGAAAGGGGTGTGGGATGCAAGAAGAGACTGGACAAAAATAGTATGGATAAGGACAGTGAGGGGGTAAGGGCAGAAGGTGGGGTGGGAACTGGGTGCAGGCGAGCTATGGGGGGGAAGAGGAACAATTGTAATAATCTGAACAATAAAGATTATTTAAAAAAAAAAAAAAGAATTTCTACTAAAGTAAATAATACCAATTAGGGCATTTGATTCTGTTATCCTTCACCTGGGCCCCATAGAGCATTTTAAAAAAATTGATAGTTCCCAAAGTTTTATTTTAACCTGGTTTATAATTATGTTAACTATATAATTAAGAAAAATTATTTAAAAAATTGGTTGAAATCAAAAGCAATTACTTTTTAGATATTGAGCACATGCAAATTTATGAGTATCTTCTAAGCCTAAAATAGACTACTATATTAATTTTCTAAAATGGATATTTTGAACTCGAGATGAAATGCCAAAAATTGTATGTGTATGAAGTTCAATAAGGACTTGCTATAGTCCAAACATTTCTTTCAGCAGCAGGGACAAAGATTAATATGTTTCTTATTCAAATATTAAATACCTAAAAATTAATAAAATATTGAACTATATATAATCTAAACAGCATTTTATTTATATATCTTAGACAAGATTATACCAACCAGAGCAATGCCTCCTCCATATTGTCTATCACACATCTTTCCTTGAAAGGTTGCACCGACATAATCTGATTTTTCTCTGTAACTTAAATTTAAAAAATCATACACATTTGTAAAACTAAACACAATTAATATTATATTTGCCAAATATAAATATGTATTTAAATATTTATATAATATACTCATAGATAGTTCCATGTACCATTAAAGTACCAATGCATAGGAACCTGGATGGAATTGGAGAACATCATGCTGAGTGAAATAAGCCAATCAATGAAAGAGAAACACCACATGACCCCACTCATTTGTGGATAATAAAGATCATTATAAACTGATGAACCAAAAGATAGATATAGAGACAGTAAAGCAACAAGCAGATTGTCAAATTACAACGGGGAGGGGAGGAGGGTCTGGGGGAGACAATAAATCAACCCAAGGACTTGTATACCTGCATATAAGTACAACCAATGGACATAAAACTCTGGGGAGGGAGGGGATACATGGGAGGGAAGGAGGGGGGCAAAAAAAAAATCAATAAAATATGTAAAATAAAATAAAAAAAATAAAAAAAAAAAAAAATTTCAATGCACCAATAAAAAAAAAAAAAAAAAAAAAATATTATGAAGTGTGTTATCAGATGGATTTTTAAAAATATATATGTTATTAATTTTATACAGAGAGGAAGAGAGAGGGATAGTTAGTTAGAAACATTGATGAGAGAGAAACATCAATCAACTACCTCTTGCACACCTCTTACTGGGGATGTGTCCACAAGCAATGTACATGCCCTTGACCAGAATCGAACCTGGGACATTTCAGTCCGCAGGCCAACGCTCTATCCACTGAGTCAATCCAATTAGTGCTCAGATAGATTTTTAAAAAATGAAGATTCAGTTTTATGTAGTATTCACTAAAAATTAAAATATTAGTAAAAGATCAAAATAAGATAACTAAGTAAAATTAAGAAAATAATGCAATGTAGTTGATAAATAGGAAGAGTTACCTTATAGACTGAAGTTTCCATTTAGTAGTATTGAATTAGCTTACCAGAGTCATGCAAAGTTATGGCATACTTGAGGGGCAGACAGTAACATAAAAGATTATGATTTAAAAATATATAGGGTATTGCTTGTCTCATTTTCAGTTCTTATAAGTGTATTTCTAGTATCACATGAGCTTATTCATCTAGGGGAAATGATTAATAACATAGACTGATGAACAAGAACTGACCCGGAGACTGGGAAGCATTGATCAGACTGTGGGACCTCAGAGGGAAGGTAGGGGAGGGTGGGGATTAGGGGGAGAGATCAACCAAAGAACTTATGTACATGCATATAAGCCTAACCAGTGGTCATGGACAAGAGGGGGTTGGGGGCATGCATGGGGAGGGGTTTGGGATGGGAATGGGGTGGGGGGGGGACGATGAAGACAAATATGTGATACCTTAATCAATAAAGAAATTTAAAATTAAAAAATTAAAATTAAAAAATATAAAAATATAAAAATATACATGTCCTAAAAATGTATACACACACTTTGAATAATTATAAAGTCAGTGTTTATTAAAATATATTTTATTGTCAAAATTGAACTATCAACTACTAAAGTATATATACATTTTTGGGGGGGGCTCTGTATGTATTATTATTTAATATAAAATATATATAGGTTTGAACATTAATGAAAAAAATAATCTTATTAAATAGAGCATCTAAGCTGAAACCGGTATAGCTCAATGGATAGAGTGTTGGCTTGGGGACTGAAGGGTTCCAGGTTTGATTCCAGTCAAGGGCATGTACCTTGGTTATGGGCATATCCCCAGTGGGGGATATGCAAGAGGCAGCTGATCGATGACTCTCTCTCATTGATGTTTCTAACTCTCTATCTTTCTCCCTTCCTCTCTGTACAAAATCAATAAAAAATATATTTAAAAAAATAAATAAATAAATAAATAGAGCATCTTATACTTTTTTAAAAGGAAGAATAGTGTGAATATGATATATTAGAGATGTTTACATATACAATTGAGCTTCCATTTCCTTGTTATTTATTATTTTATTTTATGGAAGTAAAGCATACAAAGAAGCCTAAATTACTATATTCTTAGAATTCATGTACATTTCTTCAGATAAATATTATTAGTATTTTATGTATAGTTAGGGACATTATACCATAAGGTAAGAAGGCAAGAAGGCATATGGTAACAAGTTTGAAGGAGTAAATTTCAAATACAAACAAATAAATACAGTGATATCAATAATTCTATAACCCATGTTTTGAAAAATAATATTCACATGTTGTTGTATGTTAAGAAAAATGGTACAAAGATGTCTTTATCTAAAGACCTTTGAACTGTCAGAAATTAGGTCAAATGTGTTTTCTTTATATAAGATTTAATAATGCCAAGATTTGCTTACACAAGTAAAAATGCAATATCATGTGGACGCAAAACAAGGTAAGATCTTTTCCATTTTAAAAATTTGTGTAATAATTCATTAATATCTCCTGTTAGTGGCATTTTATTTTCATCTATCCAAAGCTCCAATGAAGACAGAATTATTGTAATATTAAATGAAGTAAAAATCTAAAATAGAACACATAAAGAAAATATATTCAAATATCATGGTCTAAATAGATTTGGAAATTAGGTGTGGAAATAAACCCTCTCCTGATGACAATATTAAACAAATGAAATATAAGTCTGTTTTCAATCTTATAATATAAAAAATACATACTACTAATGAAATAAGTTGTAATTAATGTTTGAAAAGCCTGTCCTTAAGCAAGCCCTAACTCAAGTGCTATATTTAATTCAATCCTTACAATAACCTAATTAGGTGTCTACAATGATTATTATTTCTATTAAATAGTTAGAAAGCAAATTTTAAATGGTTATATATTTTTTCTTATTCACACAAGATATGTATTCAGGAAGTGTTATAAAAGAAACTATGGGAATTTTTAAGTATCACAAGCAAATGTAAAAGTTATAAAGAGCAAACAATACTTACAGCATTAGTCAATCCAATTAATTGGAAAATTTTTTGAGTGACAACAATCGTATCAGAACCCATATGATTATACTGAAAAAAGATAGTCACACATTTTAAATCTAAATATATATTGCTTAATACTTAATATTTCTGTATTGTTTAAATTTTAATACAGTGAGTTTGAAATTTTTAACTACTAATTTTTTGCTTTTAAATATAAATTATTATATAAATAATATATTTATTCAGTGTGAGAAATAGGATGTATTAAAAAATACAAAAACACCTTACAAAAGGTAGAAGAGAGTGTCCACTTTCAAAGTCATTTTACAAGGAAGGCCAGCATTACCCTGACACCAAAAAAACAGACAAAAACACTACAAAAAAGAAGATTACAGGTAAACATCTCTGATGAACACAGATGCAAAGATCCTCAATAAAACCTTGGTGCACTGAGATCAACAGCACATTAAAAGGATCTTACACCAGGTACAAGTGGGATTTACCCTATGGTGGCAAAAATGGTTCAACATTCACACACCAGTTAATGTGACAGACCACAAAATAAAGGGAAGTATCACATAATTATCTCAATTGATACATTTTACAAAATTCAACATATTTTCAAAATAAAAAATCAACAAAATATGTATAAAAGAAATATACCTCAATATAATAAAAACCATATATGACAGACCCACTTCCAAGATCATAATCAATGGTGAAAAGTTGAAAAGTTTTCTAATATAATCAGGAACAATACAAGAATGCCCACTCTCACCACTTTTATATAATGTAGATTGGAATCTTAGGCAGAGAAAGTAAGGAAAAAAGTAAATAAAATACATGCAAATGGCAAAGGAAGAAGTAAAACTGTCACTATTTGCAGATACCATGTTGTAGAATGCCCCAAACTCATCATAAAACAGCCTGTTAGAACTAGTAAACAAGGACAGTAATGTTGCAGTCTAAAAAGATATATACAAAGCTGTTTTATATACTAATAGAAACTATCAGAAAGAGAAATTAAGAAAATAATCCCATTTACAATTACATTAAAAATAATAAAATAGCCGAAGCCGGTTTGGCTCAGTGGGAGAGCGTCAGTCTGCGGACTGAAAGGTCCCGGGTTCGATTCCGGTCAAGGGCATGTACATTGGCTGCAGGCACATCCCCAGTAGGGGGTGTGCAAGAGGCAGCTGATCAATGTTTCTCTCTCATCGACGTTTCTAGCTCTCTATCTCTCTCCCTTCCTACTCTCTGTAAAATATCAATAAAATATATATATTTTTTTAAAAAGAAATCAAAATAATTTAAACAAAATAAATAAATAAATAAAAATAATAAAATACATAGGAATAAATTTAAACATAGATGTGAAGGATGTGTACACTGAAAACTATAAGAATTGTAAAAAACACAAATGAATGCAAATATATTCAGTGCTCAAGAGTTAATATTGTTGAGATGTTTCTACTACACAAAGCAATCTACAGATTTGATGCAATCCCTATCAAAATTTCAATGTCAATTAAGAGTTATAGAACATTTAAGATTGGGTGAAGATGGTTTGAGAGATTTATAAGTAAAAACTTCAAAGTGTTTTATGTTTCTTATATGTAAATTTTTTAAAAGAAATTAAAAATCCCAGATATATTTATTGAATAGAATAATTAAAAATAAATGTAAAACCAGTGCTTAGAGGTATAGGAAAAAAGCATTTTCAGTTTTAACTTAGAGAAGAAAAAAGTTATAACCTTTTCATAAATCGATAAACAGAATAGAAAGTCTACAAAGGTGTGTCACTTTATTAAACACTGAACTTGGCTGTCTAATACTATACTCTGCTCTCCTTGATGTTACCATGGATGAATTTACATGCTTATGTGTCAACTAGAGGCCAATGCACAAAACTTGTGCAAGGGCTTTGGCCCAGCCTGCTGCTACTATGCGGGGGTGCCTCTGATGCCTCTGCCATGGCACCCCCCTGCTGCGGCTTTGTCTGGAAGGAAGGACATCAGGTCTAATTAGCATATTGTTTTTATTATTATAGATAAATATGAAGAAAGTAAAAATATATAAAATTATAAAAATAACTTAAAGGGCACTCCTGAGTTGAAAAATACAATAGTTAAAATAAAAACTTCATAAAGAGTTGGATGTTCACCAGCAGAAAAAAGAATAATTGAACATGATGGTATATAAACAGAAATTATTCAACATAAAAAAACGTAAACTGATCAGAATCATAGACACTAAATTGACATCATACATAAGCCAGAATTTATGTAATAGGAGCCTTAGAAGGGAACAGAGCTTGAAAAAGGCAAAAAAAAAAAAAAAAAAAAAAGGGGGGGGGCGGGGGTGGGGGAATAAGAGTGTTGACTTGTGGACTGAAGGTGTCCCAGATTCTATTCTGATCAAGGGCACATACCTCAGTTGGGCTGCAGGCTGCTACAGACCCCTAACTGGGATGGGTGCAGGAGTCAACCAATTGATATGTTTTTCTCACATCAATGTTTCTCTCTATTTCCCTCTTCCTCTCTGGCTAAAAATCAATGGAAAAATATCCTTGGTGAAGATTAAAAATAATAATAAATTTTAAAAATAGCAAGCAGCTGCTTAAAAAACAAAAAGAAAACAAAACAAAAACCTTTATTAAATAATGGCCAAAACTCCACAAATTTAATGAAAATCATTAATCTACACATTATACTATAAAGTATAATATTAACATATAAATTAACATATAATATTATAATATATAGTATAATATTATACTTTATGGTATATAGTATAATATATAGGCTCAATAAACCAAGTAAGATGAAATCAGAAATTCACACCAATACATCATAGTTAACTAACTGGACAACGGTCATAATAAAAATCATAAAATTAATCTATAAAGTGAGAGGAAAAAATAATGTATCACATAAAAAAGAAAAATAATGCATAACAAGATTAAGAGATGTCTTCTCATCAAATCAATGAACAAGTAGTTACAGTTTTAAGTGCCAAAAGAAAATATTCTCAATCAAGAATTCTATATCCAGCAAAATTCTTCCTCAAAAGTAAAGGCAACAGAAAGGCATTCCCGAATTTTAAAAAATAATAATAACAGAGCTGCATTACTAGAAATAAGAAAGAATAGATTTAAAAAATCTATTTGGGGTTAGAAAGAGATGACAGAAGACAATAACTTATGTACACAAAGACAGTCAAGAGCTCTGGTAAAGAAAACTGCACACCACCAGAGCACAAATTTCAAATTTCATGCACTGGGCCTCTATTAAATTATAAAGTTTAAGGATCAGGACTTCTGAAATATTGTTAAGTAGAAACAATATATAAATTATAGAAGTCTCAGAAAAAGAGAGATTATTTGAAGAAACAAATAATTACTAATATAAGTTGACATAAGTCAAATAAATCAGAATATACTTACCAAATTTTTTTCAACTATAATATGCACTTCTATATAATTAAAGAAATCTGTAGGTGACTGGAAAAAAAAATCCACATGAAAGTTAAAGAATTACTTAAATATATTAGTATTTGTCACTATGTCATGAATTCACTATTGAAGAATCCAAATTCATATATACATAAATAGAACCAAAGCTAGGTATTAAAGAATCGTTTTCAGAATATTTCCTTGTCACCTCATCAACAATTTAATTTATTCAGAAAGTAGCCTTACTTTCCATTCTCTATATTCTCATTGGTTTTGAGCTATTTATATTATTTGCTTTCCTGAAAAAAACAAATCAACAAAACCCTTCCATTGTCTCCCATTACAAAAGGTGTGATTTTTTTTTATTAGCTTAAATTATGCTATTATACAGAACTATGTAGTATGGTTTTATGATGCTGAAAGTATAAGGAGCATTTCTGTGTTTAGAGGGATGATATTTTAAATCACTACAGAAAAAGGTGAGCAGCAGAGATTCAAAATGAGCAACTCTCAAACTGCACCATAGATACCTCAAAATGGGTTTCAGGGTATGATGTTATCCACACAAATCATAATGCTTAAGTTAGGCAAAAATGTAAAGCCTGATGGGATTTGAATTCTGTCTTATTATTTATGTGACTTAGACTCTGTCAAAATATGGGGATAAAGAAATAATTATCTTCATGATTATTGTTACATAAAGATAACCTAGGAAGAATGCACTAGGGAAAACTTATAAGACAGCTTTGTGAACTGTTTAAGACTATAGTGTCAATAACTCAAAATATCTTGTTACTAGACTAGCATAACTTCAAATACCGGACAGATCTCTAGAAGCAGAAAAGGAGGATAAAATTTCAGAAATGGAGAAAAATTTTATTATATTCATTTTAATGTATACAGATTTTCTTTTCTTTTTTTCTGTATACAGGTGTGCACCTTTTGTCCTGTTTTATTGCTAAAGGGCAGATACCATTAAAATAAAGAAAACACAATGGCATTGTTTTATATTTCTACAATCACTCTTGGTTTTGGTTCATTAGAAGTTAACATCAGACACAACTGACTGAGACCACACACACACGGGCAGCAGCCACAACAGCAAGGCTTGCCTTTTGTACAAAGTTTATATATATATATCTTATGTACACAGACACAAGGATATAAAATCCAGTGAGAAGGGCTCATATGTGCCCAAGTAGGGGACAAGAGCGGCTTTAGCACTGGGATGGAGCCCACAGTAGAGGCACATCAGAAGTAGTGTAGAGTAGCAGCCTCCCCACAATCCTCCTGGACCAAAGGAAGAACCTAGGAGGAAGGACAACTAACTATACAAAAGAAGATGAGAAATACTGGAAAGGTACCCCATCTTTTGCTAAACTCCTGAATGCCCCTAAGACATCCAAAATACCTGGCATTTCACATTAAAGTTTAAAACCATCCCATATTAGTAAAACTATTTTCTTTAACATATTAAATTTAGCATTGGAGAATAAGAACTATAGGATTTAGTAGAGATTTAAAAAATGATGATTACAGTAATTTAAATAAAAAAGAAAAGTTGAGAAAGATCAGTAAGACAAAATTAGGCTGACTTGAACACCCTTTTTGCCCACTATTTCTTGGCCTAACCTTGGAGATTTCAGATTTTGTTTTTAAAAAATGCAGATGAAATCCCCTTATGGTCTAACTGTTGTTGTTTTTTATCATTTCCATTAAAAATTAAGCACCAAATATGGCATGATAGTTTGCTTATAAGACTCAATCTTTTCATTAAAGTACCTAGATAAGGAAATAACACCACTTTGCTGCAGGATAAAAATAAACACAAATTAATTGAGATAAATTATGTAAAAATAGATTGAAGGATCCAAAACCATTTCTTTGTTTTAACCAACATGTATTAGTTGTCTAACATTCCCTGAAGTAATTCTTATTCATTTTCTCTTTGAGATTTGGATTGATTATACTTAGTAATACATTTATTCGTTTAATGAACAATAAACCTGAAGGGTAAAGATACAGTCTATTTTAGCCAAATATATTTAAAACAATGGTACATAAAAGAATGCCAGGATATGTGTCTGTTAAAGGGTGAGCAGGTCCAAACAACCTCAAAAGGCATTTTATATAGTAAGAGAATGTGATTATATAAGGGGGGAAAATGCTTAGCTAAGTATTATGTAAAAACTAGAGGCACAGTTTATGAATTTTTGCATGGGGGAGGGGGTCCCTCGGCCTGGTCAGCGATCAGCCCTTGTCCAGTCCCAATTAGGAAGATTGGGGCCACTGACTAGGGAGAGAGATAGTGGGAGGTTGGCTGGCTGATAGGGTGGTGGGCAGAGGGACTATGGAAGGTTGGTCTGCCACAGGAGTTTGGCTCTGGGAGCACACTGAGCACCAGGGGGAAGCTTCTGCAATGAGCATGTGCCCCCTGGTGGTCAATGTGCATCATAGTGACTGGTCAACTGGTCTTTTGGTCATAAAGGCTGCTTAGGCTTTTATATATATAGATGGTAATGGGCTGAATCCCTTCCTCCATTGGGGCAAGACAGAAATATCTCTTTTCACCTGTTTAACATTATACTGGAGGTGCTAACCAGAACAATTAGGCTATTAAAAAAAAATGAAAATTATCCTAATTTTATCCTAATTAAGGATAATTTTACCCTAATTAAAAAGGGAAAACATAAACTATCTTTATTCAAGTTGACATAACTTTATAAATAGAAAATCAGAGTCCAATTAAAAAGCTAATAAACAATTACAATAAGTTTCTAGAAGACAAAATCAGTACACAATGTCAATAATTTCCTAACACTAATAATGAGAAGTACAATTTGAAATAAAAATTAAATGTGCAATAGCATTCAAATAATAAAACTTTAAAAAATAAATTTAACAAAATAAGTTTACTTGAAGACTGAACGATGCAAAACAATGCAGAAAAAATATTAAAGAAAATTAAAAAAAACAAAAAGCAATTCAATATTAATAAATAGAAATAATTAATATTCTTCATTGGCAATATTTCTCAGAGGAATCTACAGAATTAATACAATACCAGGTGACATTTTGAGAAACTTAAAATAAATTTTAAAATTCATTTGGAATTTCATAGTAACAAAAATAGCCAGAACAATAACTAAAAAGAAGAATACACACTTACTGATTCCAAAAATTACTTCAAAGCTATAATAGTAAAAAAAAGGTGTGGTTCACAAAATGCAAGTTTCCCAAATTGCTATTACAAGATCAAGCAGAAGTACTAAAACTTATGAAAAAAATATACAAATCAATTTTATAACCCTTGTGAGACGGTTAATTTATCTATCACTTGACCTCGCCACATACATAGGTATATGCATGTACACACGCGCGCACGCGCACACACACACACACACACACACACACTCACACGCACACATTGGTTTTGGGAAATTATCAAACTTAAAAAAAAAACTTATCAACTGTAACTGCATATCAGAGAGGGTTGAAAATCAAACTCAGAATCTCATTCTATGAGTAGATTAGTTACAGCACAAATTGAATTTCCAACATCACATGGTGTCTGCTGTTAAAGTGAAGGTATTAATGTGGAAAGAAAATGAGATCCTGAAAATTGGAATGGGGATATATGGGAAGACTGATGAATCTGTGGTTACTGAACTCCTAAAATCTGGAGTCTTCTTTGCCAGTAGAAGCAGCTTTTCCATCCTTGCATAAGGAAATTAACCCTGCATCTTGAGGAAAATGTGATGGCTGCCCCCGAGGCAGCTATCTTAGAAGAAGATCCTAGTGATTCTCCTCAGCAAATATCTTCAATATTAATGTAAATGTCATTTGTATTTGTTATATCAAAATTTTGACATAATGAATATGGAGAAAGGAGTCTACCTGCAGACAATGAATGTCTAGATCATAGGGTGGAAAAGCAGTGCCACTAACAGTGAAAAATAACAATTTATAGTTTTATAAATTTGAATTACTAGTTTTAAGACTTACACATAAGACACAAGGTTTTTGACACATCTAGCACATCTATCTATCTATCTATCTATCAATAATCTATCATCTATCATATTAACTAAAATAAATAATTTGTCAGAAAAATATTGTTTTTATTGATGAATAGTAATAGTCATACAGTTACTTAAATAATCACCTACCTTTATACTTTGTATTTTATAGGGAAAGTCTCTTGGCTCGATACTCTCCTCAGCATATAAAAAAGCAGCTGTATTCTTATGATTTACTCGATAAATCACATGTTCAAAACCAACTGAAGGTTCCAAGGGCTCAATTCCATAACTTACATTTTCAAACTGTAGTAAGCCCCTACAAATTTCAAAACGGATTTTTAAAAAGTACATAAAATGCAATTTAGTCAAGTTATAATTTAATAGCCAGTAGATAATTTTCAGTCTTAGTCTTAATTGGTAAAGTGGGGAAAAATGCCCAAGTATCCACAAACTTACTGAGTGGCATTGAATAGTAACGCAATTGGTATTAGCATAGTTATTGATATTTCATGGTCTCTATATATATCAAAAATCTTAATTCAGAATAAAGGTAGGAGGGATTACAAGAATTTTCATATTATTCTTTTCCAGAAACAGTTTTCCACAAGAGGGCATGGCTCACATTAGAACCCCTGAACATAATTTAAAATTTTTAAAAAATTACTTCTGAAATAATACTCCATTTTCTCATTATAAAATTATATACCCAACCTGAGTCCAGTACATGTGCTAAGGATCACCATAGAATTTGGATACCCTTCAATATACCCTTGGTAGTAGCAAAAATTCTGGAAAACAAAAGATAAAATACATATATCTCTATTAGACTAACTCATGTTACAGGTATATTTTCAAATATTTAAACCAAATGTTAATTTGTGCATATGTATCAAATGTTTATTGTTTCTAAAATGTATTTAAAGGATTATTAGATGAACATTTGGCTCAATTATCCAAATATGTTCCCACAGATCCAAAAAAATTAGTACATTTTCATATTTTTTCTGTCATAAATTAAATATGACATTCTTGGTCATTAGGTAATAATCTTCCAAAACTTATTTTTTTATATTCTATTGAGTTAATTCTGCAAAACCAAATAAAAATGAATCAAAACATTTTTTCTTTTCAAAATTATTTGAGTGTAAAAGCAGAGTAGCTTGCATTGGATCAACTCCCTCACCAATTACAAATATAAATTCTGGAAAAAATAAGTTTAAAAATCAAAGTACAAAGGCAGGCAGAAAAAAGGTGAGAAAAAGAATCAACACTGGAAAGAAAACATGGTATTTAGTTTGCATTTATAATGCTTTAATTTCAGAGTATTAGTAGATTCTCCACAGAAAACCTAGTAATGCAAATTGAAAAAAAAAAAAAAAAAGGAATTGGTAGGACAGGGCAAAGGTAAAAAGAAAAATGGCATTTCAGGCATAGGTAATTCATGCAATTCTATGAACACTTCTCTATTATTCTTTCAATAAATTATTAACAAGCCTGGCCAGCATGGCTCAGTGGTTGAGCATTGAATTTATCAGGGCACATGCCCTGGTTGCAGATTGAATCCCCAGTGTGGGGAATGCAGGAGACAGAGATCAATGATTCTCTCTCATTATTGATATTTCCATCTCTCTCTCCTTCTCCCTTCCTCTCTGAAATCAATAAAAATATATTTAAAGAACTACAGATAGCCGAAACCGGTCTGGCTCAGTGGTAGAGCGTTGGTCTGCGGACTGAAAGGTCCTGGTTCGATTCCAGTCAAGGGCATGTACCTTGGTTGTGGGCACATTCTCAGTAGGGGGTGTGCAAGAGGCAGCTCGTTGATGTTTCTCTCTCATTGACATTTCTAGCTCTCTATCTCTCTCCCTTCCTCTCTGTGAAAAATCAATAAAATATATTTTTTAAAAAGAACTACAGATATTATACAATGAAGCTCCAAGTGTTCTAAATATATCAAAATTTAATACATTCCTAAATGTGCTTGCAATTCCATATGTATTCACTAGGTCCCTGAAAATACTTCAGAAAAGTATTTGAATTCTTCTTTTATTCCCTGATTTAGCTTTCCTAACATAACTCATGCTTTTTCATTTGAATAACATAGTCAACCCATTGGCCACACAAGTACAAATGTACATCATCATTAAATAATAGCTTAAAAAAACATCAGAATCATTTTTGGTTTGGATGATCATCTGTTTAATAAGGCTTACTGAATATACACATAAAAAAATAAATGGTTGAATTTATACCAAAACAAACATAATTTCAATTCTTTGTACTCCAGCAACAAGTGGACCCTAAGTAAGGTGATCACAGAAACTCAACTAAGAAAGGTAAAACAGACACTAAAATTCATACCTGAATCTGTTGTTCAAAAGGCTTCATATATCCTGTGCCATTATAGCCATAAACTCTAAAACTAGGAGGTAAGAAAGTTCTGCAAAATAGAGAGTTTAATGAAAATTTTGTTTCCTAAGCTTTTATTTTAAAAATATATTAATTTTGTTACTAGAGGTCCGGTGCACCAATTTGTGCACAGGTGGGGTCTCTAGGTCTGGCTAGTTGTTAGGGCCAATAGGGGCCAGGCCAAACAGTGCTGGCCAATCTGGACCTGCAGGCCAGAGGGAGAAGCAGGAAGGGAACACAGGAGGTTGGTCATTGACCTCAAGGAGGGAATGATCCTAATTAAGACTAAAATAAAACTTTCAAAGTATCAAGAAAAAAAGGATGTTACCTTTAAAGAAACACCAATAAGATTGATTGCTACTTGTCAATACCGTGTTTCCCCCAAAATAAGACATCCTCCGAAAATAAGACCTACTTACAGGTTTTTTTCTGAGTGAAATATAAGGCATCCCCCAAAAAATAAGGCCTCCCTAGGCTAAACATGAGAAATTTGGTCCACAAGAAATGTGACCAAAATGGAGTCACAAGAAATTCACCAGGAAATTCAGGAATTGGATTGTTATGATGATGTTCCAGAAGATGATGACATGATTGTCATTGAATAAATTAGTAAATTCTTGATATTGTAGGATTCAGTTTGTCTGGTTTGTGTTGACAACTACCATACTACTGTACCGTAAAGAGGTAATAAATTTCCTTTATTTTCATTTAACAATAAATGTGTACTGTATTCTTCTTCATGGAAAAATAAGACATCCCCTGAAAATAAGACCTAGCGCATCTTTGGGAGCAAAAATTAATATAAAACACTGTCTTATTTTCGGGGAAACCGGGTAGAAATGAAGAAAGCCAGAAGACAATGAAATGATAATTTTAAAGAATAAAGGTCATTATTTATTTATTTATTTATTTATTTATTTATTTATTTTAATCTTTTTTAAAAACAATATATTTTATTGATTTTGTACAGAGAGGAAGAGAGAGAGATAGAGTTAGAAACATCGATGAGAGTCATCGATCAGCTGCCTCTTGCATACCCCCTACTGGGGATGTGCCCACAACCACGGTACATGCCCTTGACCGGAATCCAACCCAGGACCCTTCAGTCCCCAAGTGATGCTCTATCCATTGAGCCAAACCGGTTTTGGCTTAAGGTCATTTTTAAAAAAAGAGATACCCTAAAATTTGTTCCAGCAAACTAGAGGCCCGGTGCACAAAATTCATGCACCTGGGAGGGAGGGTTGTCCCTCAGCCCTACATCCTCCTCAATCTTGTACCCTTTGGGGTATGTTCAACTGCTGGTTTAAGCCCACCTGTGGGATTGGGTGTAAACCAGCAGTTGGACATCCCTCTTACAATCAGGGCTGCTGGCTCCTAACCACTCACCTGCCTGTCTGCCTGATTGCGCCTAACTGCTTCTCCCTGCCAGCCTAATCACCTCCTAACTGCTCCCCTGCCAGCCTGATTGATGCTTAACTGCTCCCAACTGCCCTCCCCTACTGGCCTGATCACCTCCAACTGCCTTCCCCTACTGGCCTGATCTTGTCCCTAACTGCCCACCCCTGTCAACCTAATTGCCTCCAACTTCCTCTCCTGCTGGCCCAATCACTCTCAACTACCCTCCCCTGCTGGCCATCTTGGCAACCATCTTGTGGTGGCCATCTTGTGATGATGTCATGTGAAGGCATTATGTGAGGGGAGATGCCAACTAGGCTTTCATTATACAGGATATAAAATAATATTGACTTTATAAAAAATAATAGTAATCTCTCATTGGGGTTTAAAAGCAAGCAGGATTATGATACATTAAAAAAATGATAGGTAGAAAAGGCAACTGGAATAAAAAAGTTAAATGATCGCCATAGCCAGTTTAGCTCAATGGAGTGTGTCAGCCTGCAGACAAAAGGGTCCTGGAGTGTGTCAGCCTGAAGACCAAAGGGTCCTGGTTCAGTTCCCGTCAAGGGCACATACCTTGGTTGCAGCTCTTCCCCAGCCCCAGTGTTGGTCAGGGCTCATGCAGAAGGCAACCACAAATTCATATGTGTTTTTCTCACATTAATGTTTCTCTCTGTCTTTCCCTCTCTTCACTCTCTTTAAAAATCAATGGAAAAATATCCTCAGATGAGGATTAACAAACAAAACCAAATTTAAATGATTTAAGAATATACGGTAATTGGTAACAGTAAAAGTTTTTTTTATATACAATAACTCAGGCATTAACATCTTAATCTAGAGAAACTACCGAAAGAAGAGTAAAAGGATGTATAACAAAAAATTTAAGAGAGAAAATATGTTATAATATAAAAAATAAATTCATGAATGACTATATCATTATTAATTACATTACTATATATTCTATACTTTTTTTATCATTTAAGAAAGAGCTTAAGAAACCAACTATTATTACTGAATTATTTTTAATAATGCATTTTTATTTGTTTCAGAGAGGAAGGGAAAAGAAGGGAGAGAGAAAAACATTAATGATGAGAGAGAATCATTATTCAGCTGCCTCCTGTATGCTTCCTACTGGGGATAGAGCCCGCAACCTGTGCATGTGTCCTAGATCAGAACTGAACCCAGGATCCTTCAGTCCACAGGCCCATGCTCTATATACTTAGCAAAACTGATTAGGGCTATTACTCCATTTGTATTCAGCTCTTCTTATATTTCTAAGCAGTTATACTTTACATATTTCACAACATATTAACATTCAATAAATAGTGTGCTTGTGATACTGGTAATTATTTATAGGATGTTTAAGCTGACCACTGGCTCACTCTCATGGGCATCACTTGGCATTCCAAAATAGTGGCTGACTGTAAGATTCTATCTGGATTTTCCCAATATATCTCTTGGAAAAACGCAGCATTTTTTTTTTCCTTAGGAAGAAGTAATTTTGAGTCTTCCTTCAAATTGATATCATCCATTTTATATAAAACAACATTTTCCAAGCTTTATAATGTATGAAAAAATTATGAATTCTAGAAATGGTACACATCTCTCTCTCTCTCTCTCTCTCTCTCTCTCTCTCTCTCTCTCTCTCTCTCAATTTTGGTAACTAGAGGTCTGGTGCACAAAATTCATGCACAGGGCGGGTTGGGGGTTCCTTCAACCCAGCCAGCACCATCTTCAATCCAGGACCCCTTGGATAGTGTCCAATTGCCTGGGATCAGACCTAAACAGAGAATCAGACATCCCTTTCACAATCCTGGACTGCTGGTTCTAATTGCTCACCTGCCTGCTTGCCTGGTCATCCCTTCCTGCCCCCCTTGCCAGCTGAGTTGCCCCTAACTACCCCCCGTCAGCTTGATAGCCCTCAATTCCCCCCAACACCCCCACTGACCTGGTCATCCCACACAGTCTGCCTGTTCTATCATTTGGTTGTTCCTCACTAACACCCACGCTGGCCTGGTCACCCTATGCAGCCTGCTGTTCAGTCAGCCCTCACTAATCCCCCTGCAGGCCTGGTTTCAGGAAGCCATCTTGTGAGGGTGTAAGGGTCAATTTGCATATTGCCTCTTTATTATATAAAATGTCACTTGCAGACTTCTGCCTATCATTATTTTTTAAAGATTATTCTTATCATTTAAAAAAGGACCATTAAAATGTTGATGTTTCTTTATTCCTTAGTATTTTGTGCTTATTTCCCCAAAATTTATTAGCTGGCATGGAATTGAATTTGGCTAATTACAATTACATTCTAAGTCTGTAAGACATTCTGACATTGTATGTAAACTCTAAAAAAAAAAAAAAAAATTATCACAATTCTTTTCACCTGAAAATCATCTATATTCTTTCAAATAAAATTGAATATAAAGAAGCTAAAAAACAAGTCATCAAGTTTTGATAAAGATAGAAAATTATCAACATGCATTCCCTATTAAACAAACCTGGATAACCAAAACAGAAATCTGGTTCAACAGGAAGGAGAAAGGTGAGAGCTTACACTGTGGATTCAGGCTATTTAGTATATAAATTCAACATTTACTATATAAACTTTTAAGATTTTTAAAGGATAAAATTAAAGACAATGAAAAGCCAGTAACTTGAAACATTTACAAATGCAAAATAATGACATTCTGGATAAGTATAAATGACTAGAGACCCAGTTCATGAGAATCATGCAAGAGCAGGTCTTCCTTCCCACAGCTGCTAGCACCAGCTTCCCTCTAGCTGGGACCCGGTCTTCCCTCACTACCTCAACTTCATCCAGAGAGTCATCTGGAAGGATGTCTGGTCTAATTAGCATATCATGCTTTTAATATTATAGAGTAGTGGCCCAGTGCACAAAATTCATGCACCAGGGGTGTGGAGCCCCTCAGCCTGGCTGCACCCTTTCCAATCTGGGATCCCTCTCACAATCCAGAACCGTTGGCTCCTAAACGCTACCCTGCCAGCCTAATGGGGCTAACTGCTCTCTCCTCCTGCCCTGATCCCCCTAACTGCCTAATTGCTCTCCCCTGCCAGTTTGATCCCTCTAACTGCTCTCCCCTCCTGGCCTGATCTCCCTAACTGCCTATCTGCACTCCCCTCCTGGCCTAAACCCCCTAACTGCCTATGTGCTCTCCCTTCCTCTCTGTGCCTTCAGCATCAGGTCCCGCCCTCATCCTGATGCCCCCTCTACCCGGTGGTGAAGCAAAGCCTGTACATGCCTTCACCAGGAAGGGCCACCCCTGAGGCAGCCGCATGTCCCAGTGGTGTAAGTCCCCACCCCTGTCCGTGCCCACCAGCTCCTGAGAGTGCACAGCCTGGTTCGTGACTGTGACACTGTTAGGACTGATTAGCATATTACCTCTTTATTATATAAAGTAGAAAGTAGAGGCCTCTTGCAGGAAGATTCCTACAATAGAGCTTCCTGCTTTGGTCTTTACTGCTCCACCTGCTTCCCTCCCTTCTCCCATCTCCCACCTCTTCTCTTCCTTCTCTGCCATCCCACTTGCTTGCTTTTCTGCAACTTCACTCCCTTCTGCAGTGTTTGGATTCTTTCTACGCTGTCTTCAGTCTTCACTCTGGTTTGGATATGCAAATTAACCACCATCTTGATTGGGTTAATTTGCATACTCTCCCTGATTGGCTGGTGGGAGGGGCTTGTGGGCATAGTGAAGGATGGTCAATTGAAATGTTTCTCTTTGTTTAGGTAGGATGATTATAAATAGAACAAAGACAGGTAGTAAAATAATGTAGATCACCTACTTTTGCATCAGGTTCACAGTATATGTTTTTCCATCAATTATAATGTTGTAAGACACCTAGTAGAAACGTATATTAGAAAAAAAACAAAAACAAAAAACCACAAAGCAAAGTTAGAAGAATATTAAAAAGGAAAACTATTATTTTTATATTGTCAATAATTCCACTCTAAAACGCACTAACAATAAAAAGAAATATAATTTAATACTGATGTATTTCAATTTCTACATGCTGAAGTACATTGTTTTAACCATTTTCTTCTCTTAATATCTGAAAATTACTAATGTATCCTAATTTCTGAAAGATATTTCATTTGGGTAAATTACTCTTTAATGCAAATTTATTTAAAGCCAGACATTTAAAGCTTTACTTTCATTGGATTCTCATCCCCATTGTTGACTTTGAGAATCTATCAGTGTACTACTTATTTCAACGCAGATGATCTTTGATGTCCGGCTGTCTTTAAGATGTCTTCTTGGCTTTGGTATTCTGATTTCACTGTCAAGGTGTTACTTGATTTTTATATACTCTGTGATGTGGTACTTGATCTAAGGATACTTTTAAAATCATTTCACAGTTAATATATGTTTAATTTCTTCAGGTTTTTTTTTTTTTTCAGGAATTTCAATTATTCTACACTTGACCCACTAATTCTATTCCTTCCTTTCTTTCTTTCTTTCTTTCTTTCTTTCTTTCTTTCTTTCTTTCTTTCTTTCTTTCTTTCTTTCTTTCTTTCTTTCTTTTCCTAAAGCTATTTTTATGTTGAATCTACTTGAGTCTCTTCAGCTGTCTGGTCTACTATTGATTCTTGATTTTTTTTTTTTTTTTTTACTTTCATATTAATTAACATGTAGAAGTTCCATTCAGTTATTAAAAATAAACTAGCCTTCTTAAGTTGAATATTTTCTCCTATGGCTTTTTAAAAATATTTTTTTTACTTATTTCAAAGAGGAAGGGGGAAAGAGAGAGATAAAGAGAGAGAGAAAGAGAGAGAGAGAGAGAGAGAGAGAGAGAGAGAGAGAGAGAGAAAGAGAGAGAAGAGAAAGATACATCACTGATGAGAGACAATTGTTGGTTGGCTGTCCTCCTGTATGCCCCACATTAGGTATCCAGCCTGCAACCTGAGCATGTGATCTGACTGAGAATTGAAATATGACCTCTTGGTTCATAAGTTAACACTCAAACACTGAGCCATGCCAGCAGAACTGATCTTTATTTATTAACTAGAGGCCCGGTGCACAAAATTCATGCATTGGGGGGGGGGATGTCCCTTATGCCAGCCTGCACCCACTCCAATCTGGGACCATCCAGGGATGTCCTGGATCCAGCCTAAACGGGCAGTTAGACATCCCTCTCATAAAACAGGGCTTTTGGCTTTCAACTGTTCATTTACCTGCCTACTTGATTGCCCCTAATAACTTCTGCCTGCTAGCCTAATCACCCCTTAACCACTCCTTGCCAGCCTGATCAATGCCTAACTGCTACACTGACAGCCTGATTGCCCCTAACTGCCCTCCCCAGCCAGCCTGGTTACCCTTAACTGTCCTCCCCTTCAAGCCTGGTCCTCCCCAAGTGCCCTTCCCTGCTGACCATCTTGTGGTGGCCATCGTTGACCAAATGGGGGCGGTCATCTTGTGTGTTGGAGTGATGGTCAATTTGCATATTATTCTTTTATTAGATAGGATTGCTAGAGTCCTGGTGCACAAAATTCATGCATGGGGGTGTCCTCAGTCTGCACCCTCTCGAAATCTGGGACTGCTGGCTCCTAACTACTTGCCTGCCTACTTGCCTGATCATCCATAACCACTCACCTGTCTGCCTGATTGCCCTTAACTGCCTCTGCCTGCCTGCCTAATCACCCCTAACCACTCTGCATGCTTCCTGATTGCCTCTAACCACTTGCCTGACTGCCAGGTCACCCCTAACTGCTTGCCTGCCTGCGTGATCACCATAACCATCTCTGCCTTGGCCCAGCACCTGGGACCCATGCTTCTCTCCTCAGGCTGGCTATAGGCACCCGGGATCTAGAGCAACACCACCTTGGCCCCCAGCTGCAGGCACCTGGGCCCCAGCTTTGTCAGGAAGAACATCCAGAACGATGTCTGGAAGACGTCCAGTCTGTCCAGTCTAATTAGCATATTATCCTTTTGTTAGTATAGATAATACTTATAAACATACTCTGTTTCATATTATTTGTAACATTTGTTGGATCAATAAGCCTTATTGATTAAAAAAAAACTACTAATCCCTTACTATGTATTCAGTACTGTTCTAAACATGAGAGAGGGACATTAACAAAATAGTTAAATTTTGCTCCTCATGAATTTGACAGGTACAGAAAAATTATTTTTTCTGCCAACATTATTTTATTTTATTTATATTTAATCTAGTAATGATTGGTGTAAGATATTGCCCTCTTAATACATCTGTGTATGTTTTCTAATTTAACCAAACAATAACATATATTTTTGTATAAACATAAAACTTGTAAAATACTGCTAAAATGTCTTCACCTCCTTTTCTATGAAAGAGAAATTTAATGTCTACTTTAATTAAATTAAAAATTCTCATAAATATATATTTCTTTTAAAATAGAATATTGAATATTTTAAGCTTGCATTATCTCCATTAGGGTGACAAGTGGGTAGTTGTTAAGAAATATTTGCACACAATTTACCAGAACATTTATGACTCAACTAGAAAGAAAATTAAGGTTGGGTGTATCAAAAAAACACTTTTCACTTTTTTAGAAATGATTCTAGAAATTAGTAAAAGAGATACAAAGCCAATTATTTCAAAGAAAAAGACATTGGTCCCAAAATAACTAAGATGGCATAAAAGACCAACCTTAATGATGAACATATTTGCAATAAAAATTTTAAAAAATCATCACATAGCACTTCATTAAATCAAAAGATCGTCATCCCACCTAAGGAATCCTTAGGCTTACTTAACAGCAACAATTTCCTCCAAATTTAGCCTGGTGAAAGAGTAAGGAAAGAACCTCTAGATGGATCAGGTCAATGATTATTCAAACACTCAAGGAGGAAACAAATTTAGAAGATAGGATTTGGGACTTTGATAATAAGCATCACTGCACAATATGCCTATGAAACCTTATTAACCTAGGCTCATTTTCAAAAGTTTTTTTTTTTTTTTTTTTTTTTTTTTAGTCAAGGAAAATTGGGTATAAATATAAAATTTATCAAGTGTGCATGGATAAAATATGCCAGATTTACTTCTCAAGAATGAAATAGTCGCATTGTTTTTAGATTCTGAAGAAAGATTAGTGCTTAATTACATTTGATTCAACTCCATCTTTTGTGGTTGACCGTTTTTTCTCTGGAATTATAATTTGCACAGGGAGCAGCTCAGAATCTGTAAGATGCAAAATGTTTTGTTAGAGCAACACACATTGCCTCATATCTCCTCCTCTAAAGTCAGCATAGTCTGTACACTCCACATATTTTGGTTATCTTTTTTCAATATTGACCCTCAATCTGTGCTCTTTCTGGAGTTACAAGACTTTGTAAAGAGGAAGAGGTTTACTGCGATAGGAATACCGACTTGTGGGCCGTTCATGGTAATTCTGGGGCAATAGGAGCAAGCATTCTCAGTACATATAAACTTGGGTCCTTTTGACCTTCCAGTGACAATGTCCAGGGGTAAAAAAAATGCAGAGTGGTTTATAATACACTGAACACTGAGGCATCCACTCAAACCTTGCATGGCAACTCCCTACCCCCAACTCCCACCCCAAACCCTTTCCCCACCCCTATGGTCCCAATTACGAGTGGGAAAGCCCCCTGGCGTACAATGTGGATGTTGTCTAGGGAAGGTGGCAAGGTGGGAGTGGACTGGTGCTCACAGAGTGCGAGCCCCCACAACAGAGCTCTTTCCCAGAGAGAGTCAGCCTCTCAGAGGAAGCCCAGAGGAAAGCTGACATTCCTGACAGGTCGGGAGGGGCTGGCGGAGGGGTGAGTGTACTTACTACTACTGTCTGTCTGGAGCCCGAGGAGCCCGAGGAGCAGAAACAGAAACCTCAGCATGGCTAGATGTCCTGTATCCCAACGCCAGTAATGGCAGTTGCCTGGGCCAAAGGCGGTTGGAGGCGCGAGGAGAACCCTGCAGAGCATAGATGGGTGGGTGGGTGGGAAGGGAACGCCTAGTGAGCTGTGGAATGCGGGCAGTTTTGGCCCCTGAATCTATGCAGTAGGAGGCTTTGACTCATTTCTAAGCCTCTTTGGGGGCAAAACAAACGAACAACAACAACAACAAAAAATAATAACAAACAAAAACACAGCAGAATGCCGAAACCGGTTTGGCTCAATGGATAGAGCGTCTGCTTGGGAACTGAAGGGTCCCGGGTTTGATTCCGGTCAAGGGCAGGTACCTTGGTTGCGGGCATATCCCCAGTAGAGGGTGTGCAAGAGGCAGCTGATCGATGACTCTTTCTCATCAATGTTTCTAGCTCTCTATCTCTCTTCCTTCCTCTCTGTATAAAATCAATAAAGTATATTAAAAAAAAAAAAAAAAAACACAGCAGAATCACTTCCAGATGGTAGAAACAGCTAATGAACAGGAAGATTCATATATACTTCTCCAGAGAACTGAAGTTATACATACATATATTATTTTTTACAAATCACAGGCACATAGTTCCACTAATATTCAAGTGAATAAATAGGTGTAGTTAGCACCTACTTAGATTAAGAAATGAAATGTAGAGCCACCAATGCCCCCAAATTGTCCTCTGACAATCATTACTTCTAACAGAATAGATTGAGTTTGTCTGCTTTGGAACTCCATGTGAATGGAAGAAATTGCCATGTACTCTTTAATGTTTGAGTTCTTTCATTATAATGATTCTAATTTCCAAACATGTTGTAACTAGCAATAGTTTTTGTTTGTTTTGTTGGCACTATTGCACATTGAATGAATATAACTCCATGTATTCTTCCATTTTATTGTTAAAATATGGTTCACGTATAGCTGTGGCTATTAAAGTCATAGTTGGTTATTTTCTTTCTTATAATTCTCATATGGTGAGCATATGAATTTTTATTGAGAGTATTACTAAGGTGAAGTTGCCTGATCACAGACTGTGATCTTAATGGCTACTTCCAAAATGTTTTACCTGCTGAGAATTACACTTTACATCAATGCGTGTAGTGTGTTTTTTGTTTTGTTTTTTCTTTTCATTTTATTCTTGCTGGTGGACCTATAGATTTCCTGCATTTTGGTTTTAATTTGCATTTCATCATTGTTAATTAAGTTAATTTTTAATTGTTAAATTAACAATAACAGTTTTATATGTTTATTGACCATTTACATAGCTTCTTTTGTACATGCCTAATGATATGTTGGTCCATTTTTAAATTAAGTGGCCTTGTCTCTTTCTTATTATATGTAAAAGCTAGTAATGTGGTCTACATATGATTCCTTTGTTAAAGATAATAATTGCATATATCTTCTAGACCAAAGCCTATTTTTATAGATACATATTTATATTCAGAAATTTACCTTTTTATCAATTTGCTGGAATTTTTATATATATCCTGCCATGGATATTGAATTTTATAAATTGAAATGACCATACAGTTTTCTCCATTTTCTGTTAATATTGTGAATTAAAGTTATTGTTTTTCCAGTGTTGAAACAAACTTGTATTCCTGGAATATACCTTATTTGGTTATGTTGTATTATCTTGTTTGAATTTTGCTGGATTGATGTAGCAGCATTTTGTTTAGATTTTTGCATCAATATACATAAGAAATATTTGTCTATAATTTTTATTGACATGTATTGTCAAATTTTGTTTCAAATAGATGATGGCTTCATAAAAAATTGAGAAGAATTATCCTTTTATTTATTCTTTGAAAGATAGTATGATTTGACTAATTTTTTTTTTTATGTTTCTTATAATTTAGAAATGAAGCAATTTAGACTAAGAATTTTCTCTTTGAGAGTGTTGGATTTATTTTTACTTATGAATACAATTTTTAAAAGGTAGTCAGATACTCTTTTTCATTGTGATGAAATGTGTACATTTCTTTAACTAGTTAGATGTATTGGCCAGTTATTTATGATTTCCTTCCTTCCTTCACCATTCATTTGATTTCTGTGGAACCTTTTGACTTCTGTGGAGTCAGTAGAGACAGTCCATTTTTAAAATTCTCAATGTCGATAATTTTGTAAGGTTTTTATACATGATCAGTAATTTTTGGAGTTTTCATTTTTATCCTATCTAATAAAAGAGTAATATGCAAATTAATCATCACTCCACTACACCCACCAGCCACACCCACAAGCCATGCCCACCAGCCAATCAGGAGAAAATATGCAAATAAACCCAAGCAAGATGGCTATGGCCACAGAGAGCAAAAGGAAGGCTTGGGTTTCCCTTGGGAGCCAAGCTTTCCACACACCCTGGTGGGTCCCAGCTTCCACTTAAGGCTACAAAGTTTCAATTCTAGAAGATACATAAATACCAACAGAAATGGCTGCGGTGACATAGCAAGCAGAAGGCTTGGCTTCACTCCAGGCTACAAAGTTTCAATTGTAAAAGATAAGTAAATCCCAGATACTAGGGCCTCTGCTTGGGTTGCCAGGGGGTGTGGCCGGTCTGAAAACCACAAAAGGCCTATCGACCAGGCCCCCCCATGCTCCAAGGGATCCCCGACCCTGATCTAGTGCCAGAAATCAATCATTGTCTCACTAATAGAAAGATGTAAAAGGCTGGTCAACCTTGAAGCTCTGAAAAGTCAGAGCCCACCACTCCCTATCTAATTGAGACAATGATAACTGAGGCAACTTCCCCATCTTGTAATCATGTAAATCCTTACTGATATGATAATCCGCTTATTACCTTCCTAAGGGCTATGGGTGTCTCCCAAACCTGCTTAAGGATAATGGGTGTGTCTCATAGCCTCAATAAAAGGGATAGCAAGGCCAGACTTCTGGAGGAGAAGGTATTTTTTGCCTAAGAGCAAAGGAGGAAAAATACACTGAGAAAAAGTGTGGAAAAAGGTAAGGGAAACTCACCATACTCAAAAACCCACAGCCAGCTGCAGAGTTGTGAATGGGGAAGAATTAGATTATAAGTATAAAGTAAATTTTATCATAGAATTTTGGTTTGTATGCTTAAAGAATGTGGTTTCTTGTTCAAATTAAAATCTTAGTTTGTATTTGGAACTTAAAATCTGTGATAAGAAATGAAACTCCACTGCTGAAACTGCCTCTGCTGCAGAGAAATTCAAAGGTGGCAGGAGAGGGCAAGGCTTTCTGCTCTCCTGCAATGAGATTAGTTAGAGTTTTCTTTTAAAATTATAAAAGAACTCGCAGGGAAATGCTGATCTTGGCCAAATTGGGTGCTAGTTATTACTTCAGAAAGCAAAAAAGAAAGAAAAAATTTGAGATCTGTCTTTATCTATTAAGTATGAAAAAAATGTGTGACCAAATCTGTTGCTGAAACTTCCCACGAAGTAAGCGAGATGAGGGGAAAGGGAGAGACATGTGGCAATCCAATATGGAAGCCCACTCTCCCAGTGTGCTAAGGAATGTGGTAATTCGCATTTGAATGGCTAAAAACTTCCTCCAAAGTCCTGTGAAAAAATTTTGTTTTTGGAAGTTTGCTTAATTATATAAATAAAAAAATAAAGTTTAAATTTGCCTCATAAAAAGATCTAGAGGATAGAATTGAAGCTCTTAATTGATTGTCTTGTATTTTTCTTAGAAATGTAAAGTGTTATTAATATAGGACATGCAAAATATATTTGACTTGCCAGATTTAAAAATTCAAATTAAATGGGGAGAAATTATATAGTTAAAGTGTGTTTTCTCTAATAATGAAAAATTCAAAATAAGTTGCTTATTATTGGTCTAATTAAAAAAGATTAATTCTGTGATCTCAACCAAAAAATTTCTATGCAAAAACTAGTCTAAATCTAATTGATACCTTAAGATAATATTAAAAGGGCCAAAATTGGTTTGGCTCAGTGGATAGAGCGTTGGCCTGCGGACTGAAAGGTCCCAGGTTCAATTCCAGTCAAGGGCATGTACCTTGGTTGCACACACATCCCCAGTAGGGGGTGTGCAAGAGGCAGCTGGTAGATGTTTCTCTCTCATTGATGTTTCTAACTCTATCCCTTTCTCTTCCTCTCTGTAAAAAAATCAATAAAATATATTTTTTAAAAAGATAATATTAAAAGGTATTATAATATTTAAATCATATATGCATATAGATATTTGTTTGATGGTTTTTTTCTATGTTAAAATTTCAAGGCCATAACAGAGATAATTATTGGAAAGCTTCAAAGGCCTGGAGTAATACAACAAATTTATTCTCTCTTCTTTTTTTTTCTTTTTTCTTTTTTTTTTATAAACCTTTATTGTTCATATTATTACAAAAGTTCCTCATTTTTTTTCCCCTCCACCAGGTTCCTACCCCACCCTCTGCCCTTTCCCCATTCCCCCTTGTCCTCATCCATAGGTGCACAGTTTATGTTCATTCTCTTCCCGCACCCCCCACTCCTCTTTTCCCTGAGAATCATTAGTCCACTCCCCTTCCATACCACTGATTCTATTATATTCAACAGTTAAAATTGTTCATCAGGTTTTTTAATTCCCTTGTTGTTTTTTATTGGCTTCCAAAGGGAAGTTTAAGGTCAAAAGGAGTTTCGGGTGTGCCCAGATCCTAGTCATCAAAATCTGGGTAAGCTCCTTATTTTTTGGTACAAGATTTGGCATATCAAGACCTGTGGGAGTCCAGGTCCTATTTGTTCCTCATTCCAAGCACATGGATTAAGAAATCAGTACTGATAAGAGGATTCTGCCAGTGCCCTTGGGCTCAGCTGATAAGAATTAAAAGAATATCCATGTGCCTTCTCAGGCAGCTCTCTACATCTCACCCTTTTTTACTAATTAAAATAAAATTTAAACATCAATAATAGGGCTCTAAAATTAAAAACAATTAAACAATGCCAATGCAAAAACTAAACCACATACATGTTATTTTCAAAACCTGAATGTCAAGAGCAAAACTCTGGCT